AATAAAATTTATTTTGGAATTTTATTCGAGGGATTATAACTTTGGGGTAATGGAAGTATATTAATTCGACTCACCATTTTTAGGGACAGTTTTTAATGTACTTTCATATGAGCTATCGTTTTTCTCTATACGATAAGATTTCAGAAAAAATTTTTGTTTTACCCCAATATATTGAAAATAAATAAAATTTATTTTGGAATTTTATTCGAGGGATTATAACTTTGGGGTAATGGAAGTATATTAATTCGACTCACCATTTTTAGGGACAGTTTTTAATGTACTTTCATATGAGCTATCGTTTTTCTCTATACGATAAGATTTCAGAAAAAATTTTTGTTTTACCCCAATATATTGAAAATAAATAAAATTTATTTTGGAATTTTATTCGAGGGATTATAACTTTGGGGTAATGGAAGTATATTAATTCGACTCACCATTTTTAGGGACAGTTTTTAATGTACTTTCATATGAGCTATCGTTTTTCTCTATACGATAAGATTTCAGAAAAAATTTTTGTTTTACCCCAATATATTGAAAATAAATAAAATTTATTTTGGAATTTTATTCGAGGGATTATAACTTTGGGGTAATGGAAGTATATTAATTCGACTCACCATTTTTAGGGACAGTTTTTAATGTACTTTCATATGAGCTATCGTTTTTCTCTATACGATAAGATTTCAGAAAAAATTTTTGTTTTACCCCAATATATTGAAAATAAATAAAATTTATTTTGGAATTTTATTCGAGGGATTATAACTTTGGGGTAATGGAAGTATATTAATTCGACTCACCATTTTTAGGGACAGTTTTTAATGTACTTTCATATGAGCTATCGTTTTTCTCTATACGATAAGATTTCAGAAAAAATTTTTGTTTTACCCCAATATATTGAAAATAAATAAAATTTATTTTGGAATTTTATTCGAGGGATTATAACTTTGGGGTAATGGAAGTATATTAATTCGACTCACCATTTTTAGGGACAGTTTTTAATGTACTTTCATATGAGCTATCGTTTCACTCTATACGATAAGATTTCAGAAAAAATTTTTGTTTTACCCCAATATATTGAAAATAAATAAAATTTATTTTGGAATTTTATTCGAGGGATTATAACTTTGGGGTAATGGAAGTATATTAATTCGACTCACCATTTTTAGGGACAGTTTTTAATGTACTTTCATATGAGCTATCGTTTTTCTCTATACGATAAGATTTCAGAAAAAATTTTTGTTTTACCCCAATATATTGAAAATAAATAAAATTTATTTTGGAATTTTATTCGAGGGATTATAACTTTGGGGTAATGGAAGTATATTAATTCGACTCACCATTTTTAGGGACAGTTTTTAATGTACTTTCATATGAGCTATCGTTTTTCTCTATACGATAAGATTTCAGAAAAAATTTTTGTTTTACCCCAATATATTGAAAATAAATAAAATTTATTTTGGAATTTTATTCGAGGGATTATAACTTTGGGGTAATGGAAGTATATTAATTCGACTCACCATTTTTAGGGACAGTTTTTAATGTACTTTCATATGAGCTATCGTTTTTCTCTATACGATAAGATTTCAGAAAAAATTTTTGTTTTACCCCAATATATTGAAAATAAATAAAATTTATTTTGGAATTTTATTCGAGGGATTATAACTTTGGGGTAATGGAAGTATATTAATTCGACTCACCATTTTTAGGGACAGTTTTTAATGTACTTTCATATGAGCTATCGTTTTTCTCTATACGATAAGATTTCAGAAAAAATTTTTGTTTTACCCCAATATATTGAAAATAAATAAAATTTATTTTGGAATTTTATTCGAGGGATTATAACTTTGGGGTAATGGAAGTATATTAATTCGACTCACCATTTTTAGGGACAGTTTTTAATGTACTTTCATATGAGCTATCGTTTTTCTCTATACGATAAGATTTCAGAAAAAATTTTTGTTTTACCCCAATATATTGAAAATAAATAAAATTTATTTTGGAATTTTATTCGAGGGATTATAACTTTGGGGTAATGGAAGTATATTAATTCGACTCACCATTTTTAGGGACAGTTTTTAATGTACTTTCATATGAGCTATCGTTTTTCTCTATACGATAAGATTTCAGAAAAAATTTTTGTTTTACCCCAATATATTGAAAATAAATAAAATTTATTTTGGAATTTTATTCGAGGGATTATAACTTTGGGGTAATGGAAGTATATTAATTCGACTCACCATTTTTAGGGACAGTTTTTAATGTACTTTCATATGAGCTATCGTTTTTCTCTATACGATAAGATTTCAGAAAAAATTTTTGTTTTACCCCAATATATTGAAAATAAATAAAATTTATTTTGGAATTTTATTCGAGGGATTATAACTTTGGGGTAATGGAAGTATATTAATTCGACTCACCATTTTTAGGGACAGTTTTTAATGTACTTTCATATGAGCTATCGTTTTTCTCTATACGATAAGATTTCAGAAAAAATTTTTGTTTTACCCCAATATATTGAAAATAAATAAAATTTATTTTGGAATTTTATTCGAGGGATTATAACTTTGGGGTAATGGAAGTATATTAATTCGACTCACCATTTTTAGGGACAGTTTTTAATGTACTTTCATATGAGCTATCGTTTTTCTCTATACGATAAGATTTCAGAAAAAATTTTTGTTTTACCCCAATATATTGAAAATAAATAAAATTTATTTTGGAATTTTATTCGAGGGATTATAACTTTGGGGTAATGGAAGTATATTAATTCGACTCACCATTTTTAGGGACAGTTTTTAATGTACTTTCATATGGTCTATCGTTTCTCTCTATACGATAAGATTTCAGAAAAAATTTTTGTTTTACCCCAATATATTGAAAATAAATAAAATTTATTTTGGAATTTTATTCGAGGGATTATAACTTTGGGGTAATGGAAGTATATTAATTATTTAAATATATTCAATTTAAAAAAAATATTAAAAAATTATATATTGTATTATATCTTATGGTATATTGATTGGGTACAGGTCGGGCTCGTATTTTAGATACAGTATTTAGTGCTGATTCTATAGTATATACTATACTAGATGGCCACGTATCACCATCCAGAAAATCAAATTTAAATATATTCAATTTAAAAAAAATTTTAAAAAATTATATATTGAATTATATCTTATGGTATAATGAATCCTTCAAAAATATTTTTATTATCTTTTTTAAACTTTTCTGATAAAAATATTTATGGGTTGAAAGTATGTGTTTTTATACATATAATTACTAATTTGGGCATTTAAATTACATAGTTTGTATTTAAAAATACATTAAACCAAATATATTTTCTTATCTTTTTGTAGTTTATTATGTAAAAAATTAAAAATATACATATAATGACAACATAATTTAGAATTTAATTGATAATTATTAAATAATTACATATTTCATTCACTCAATATCTAGTATTTAATTAAATTTCATTTTCAACTAATTTTTAAACATGATTGTTAAATAAAAATCAGAAAAAACTTTACATTTACGTGGAATTTAATATTTATAAATTTTAAAAAATAACCAAAGAAATTTTTTATTATTTGGCCCATCTTTTTTTCCACCCCAAAACGCGACTAGTATGGTTTAAGAATTTTTGTTAAAAAGTTTGTTATTAAACCATAATGAGATTTATACTCATTTTAAAGAGCATTTAAAGATCTACAATCTTTGTTTTGACACTTTTTCCCTAAAAGTTAGTTGAAAAGAGATAATCGATAAAAATAATTGGATATAGTTTAGTCGAGGGCCTGCACCGAACCGGGTCAAATGATATGTCATTCGATTCGTCTTGCCGAGCTGAGTCGAACGGTACCACTCTCCAGGTGCGGAAATGAATTGTTCATAATTTTGTTCAGAATGATCGGACCAAAGGGGGGAGTAAGCACTTTTTGGGGGTGAAAAAATCGATTTTCTGAATAATAGCTTATTCGAAAGAGCTCCTCGAGCTGAGTCGAATGACACCCAAATCACTGTGATTGGACGAGTTTGAACCGAGATATAGGGCTCGAAATGGTCAAATTTCCGCTTGTGCAAAACTCCGCGCTTCGCGCGGAGTTTTGCGGCACGCGCCTCGCGGGGAATCTACGGTTGCTGGGTCTGGGCTCGTAACTTAATCCTATTCCTTTTTACTGATTCTCAGCCTTGAATGCCGACCTACCCTCCGTAGCAACACCAAAACTGTTATTCAAGCGAAAATTGAATTGTTCATAATTTTGTTCAGAATGATCGGATCGAGCTGATTTTGGTGTCATTCAACTCAGCTCGTCGAGCTCTTTCGAATGAGCTATCATTTGTATAATCGAATTTTTGACCCCAAAAATCACCCCAGAAATTTGACCATTTCGAGCCCTATATCTCGGTTCAAACTCGTCCAATCACAGTGATTTGGGTGTCATTCGACTCAGCTCGAGGAGCTCTTTCGAATAAGCTATTATTCAGAAAATCGATTTTTTCACCCCCAAAAAGTGCTTACTCCCCCCTTTGGTTTTTCAAATTTCAGGGACCTATATCTCGGTCCACAGGCATTTCCGCACCTGGAGAGTGGTACCGTTCGACTCAGCTCGCCGAGACGAATAGATTGACATATCATTTGTCCCGGTTCGGTGCAGGCCCTCGACTAAACTACAGCCAAATAATTTAACAGCCTTTGCCGACCTCTACTGTATGTATTTGTTTCCCATTGCGACAAAACGCCAATTAATTATTAAGGCAACAAAAGGGCTTTTTCTATATTTTTCTTTCTCTGTCTATTACACTATTTTCTTTTTTAGAGTATTTTTTTTGAATATATTTCAACCAAAAATTGACTTTAACATACGTCTATTAATCGATTTTTAATTTTTATTAAAATCCAAACTTTATTAAAATTTTAGGGTCAAAATCTGTGATATTATTTTTATTGTTTTTGTTAACTAAACGGGCTATTTCTTTGATATTCGTGCAGCAAATTAAAGATGACATTCACAGAAAATGTTAAAAATGATGACGAGGTCAATTTTTAATAAATTTTTTAAAATTATGTAGTTTTCAACTAATTTTAAAGGGTTTGGGATGTTTTGACTTTGTTTAATACATTGTCAAAAAATAATTTCTAAATGGTTTTTCGACTTTCTAATTCATATTCAATGGGAAAAACAGTTATAAGTTAGATATGGGTATTTTTGCTTGTTGAATTAACCTAATCAAGGAATCCAAGTTTTATAACATTTATGAAAGCTCAAGAATAATTACTAGAGGATACAGACTGGATGAATGATGCCACGAGGAAATTTTTTTAAATGTCTGACCATTTTGTACATTAATAAAAAAATTTATAGGGGGAGGAGGAAAAACTGCCCTTTGTGTTAGTCATAAATGAACAGAAATTAAATTAGTACTGTCTTAGATTACACGAACTAAATTTATTTCATTTACTTTAACCCCAAAATTTAAGAACTACACTTCTTTACAAAACACCCCCTTTTCTTCAAATTCTGAAAAACACAAAAACAATTATTTAAACAACAGAAGATCCACTTCAATTTTAATTTCCAATTGTTTTTCTTTTTCTGTCGCTGCCTTAATTATTTCTTTGTTGATTGCTTTCTTTTCACTTCAATATTATTTACCTAAAGCTTTGGATCAGTGTTCTTGTATTAAGGAGGAATTGAATGGACGTTTGTATAATTCTAGTAGTATTGGATATCCAAAGGTTTTTCTACCTTTTTTTATTAATTTTGGATTGAGGCGTAGGGGTCAATTTTCAAAAATTTTCGGTTTTTCGAAAAAATTTTTGTTGCAGATAGGGTAGGCTTCACGGGTAATTTTTCAGATGACGCCCCCCCCTTTTTTTTGATGATTCTAGTTCGGCTCAGCTCGAAGAGCTCGTTTGGATGTATACAATTATTCGTAGAAAATGAAAAAGATAGAACATAAAAAAGGGGCTTCATCTGAAGACTTATCGCTCCATGAAATTGCGGATTGCGCATAATTGAGTGTTTTTCGGCTTCCGGTTGCGGATTATGGAATTTTTTTTATTTTGCGTGCAGTCACAATGGGGACGAATCTATTTTGCTTAAAATAAGCTCAATTTTTTACATTTTAAGCATTTTAAAATGGGCCAAAAAGGGTATACATGAACAAAGTCCGCAATCCCAAAAATACGCAAAAATCATAGTCACATTCCTTTCCCTTTCTCTATTCTTTTCTGTAAAATTTTTCCAAATTTTAAGCACCTTCCCGATGGACGTATTCAATATCAAATCGCTGTAGTTTCCGATTTAGACCACGACAGTAAATTTGACGGGAAAAAGAATACTTGGAGAAGTTTTGTAAGACGTGGACGTTTATATTTCCATCCAGAATTGTTAACTGCCCAAATCCAATGGAATGATGAAGAAAGTGTTGTGCTTTATTCTCAATTGTCTTCTGGGGGGAGAGCTATGGAGTTTGTTTTCTTTCATTGAAAATTTTGGCTAATAAAAGCATTAAGGAGTCAAAAATTGTGGGAATAGGAAAGATCTGAGCTAAGGATATTGTTGGAGATTGAGGTTTTTGAAAAGCTTGGGCCGGATCCTGGGCCTGTAGTCTAGGAAAAAACCAAGAAGGTCAAAAGAATGCCTAGGCCTGGACTCTGGGTACAAGAAAAACCGATATGCTACTATGCACGAGAGGGCCAAAATATGCATTAAGAACCGGTCCGAAGTGCTCGGACCAATGTAAAAACACCATTTTTGAGCTTCCCTCATTATTGTATATCCGCATACAAAATATGCATTTGCATCTGATTCCCATCCCTAATTATGAAACAAAGCCTAGATTATCCTCTTTTAACACTACTCAGTTTAATTAAAAAAAAATTTCTAGGCTTTCTGATTTAGCTGTTTTTGATGGTAATTTACTCACAGTGGATGATAGAACCGGCGTTATCTATAAGTATGCCTTTGTCTCGCTTAATTCAATTTTTAATTAAATTTAAGAATTGATAATTTCAATACAATGATTCCTTGGGCTTTTTTAAACGACGGGCCTGGAAATACTACAAAAGGATTTAAAGCAGAATGGATGTCTGTAAAGGATGAACATTTATTTGTTGGAGGGTTGGGGAAAGGTAATTTATAAGGGTTGTTAAGTGACCGGTTAATTTTTGCCTTTGGAGGGGATCAAATGTCTCTAAAATTTTCCCTTTAAGCTTCAGGCAGAAATTAACCGGTCGTCAACAATTTTAATTATTTTAATCATTTCCTTGTTATAACTATAAATTTTTCTAGAGTGGACAACAACTCAAGGAGTATTTCAAAATTATCATCCAATGTGGATTAAAGTAAATATTAAATAATATATGGAAAATTAAAGTTTCGCTTTGCCTCTTTTCGCTTTATATACATAATTGACTTTCATAATTTTAACCAGGCTAGGTAATGGACATAGATTATGGTATCCGGATACGGATACTTATGACGGATACAGGCAGATATCTGCAAGCTTTAGAAATTATCTATATCCGTATCCATTACCAAATCTGATTTTAACTAACGATATCAGTGGATTCCCTTTCGTTGGAATTTTTGAATAAATAAAGCTGGAATCGTTACAAAATTTTTAACAAAATTATTAAAAAAAACTTTATTTTCCCATAGATTATCAATTTAAATGGAGAAATTGTTCACGTTAATTGGACTGAAAAATATATAAAAATTAGAGAGGCTGTTGGAATTAAATTTCCTGGTTATTTGATACACGGCATGTTTTTTTGAATGATAAATTTTGTTAAAAATTTTTTCAAAATCAATTATTCTCTTTAAATCAAAATTAGACCCAGGAACCGCTACCCAACTAAATTTAAAATTTTCAGAATCAGCCCAATGGTCTGATGTACACAAGAAATGGTTCTTTCTTCCAAGGTGTTTTTAAAAAATTTTTGAACTAAAAATAGTTTTTAGACGTGCTTCGAATGATACTTACTCTGAGGATACAGATGAACATAAGGGGACTAATATGTTGATAATGGCTGATGAAAACTTTACTAATATTGAGGTGAATAATAAAAACATCCAAAATAAAATTTTTTAAAGGCAACACGTATCGGTTCTGTAGGGGATGGTTCTCGTGGATTTTCCGCCTTTCAATTTTTGCCTGGCAGCGATGACCAATTTATTGTTGCGCTAAAATCTGAGGAACGCGATGGAAAGGCTGTTGCCTCGTATTTATGTTTTTTCCGTTTGTCTGACGGGCAGTTTTTGATAGAGGAACAGAAATTTGATGGTCCTTATAAATTTGAGGGTTTAATTATTTATTGAAGAAATTCTGGTTTTCTGTTGTATTTAATGTATCATATTTATTCTAGAAACTTTATCCTTTTCTCGTTTCATTCCCTTTTAACACTTCAATTTTTATTTTAAATCTGGCCAAGAATTAATTTTCTAGTAAGAAAGTTGAATATTTTAAGATTGGCTTTTCGTCCTTTTCGGGTCCGGTTCTGGATATTCAAAAATTTCAAATGCCAATATCCAGTGTACCCACCAATTCTCAGAAGTTTCATGTCAGATTTTAAAAATCTTCAAGCTCAGAATTAAATTTTTGGTCATCATCCCTCGTCGATATTATAGTCTATCGTGCTTATTAATTTATACTATATCTGTATCAATTTAAATTTAAATATCAAACATTTATTTTAATCCTTCCCTTCTTAATTTTCCCGTTGTAAAACAAAAATTAAGCTATTATATTTTATTAAAGATTTTAACTATAAAATTGTTTCGGGTATTTTTTGAATTTTATTTATTATACTAAACAGATTTTGACTAGAATAACATTTAAAATTTAAGCATTCTTTGATTTAGAATTTTCTTTCTTTTCTTATACACTCCTCAATTTTGTTTTATACATTCGGCTTCAAAATAGTAATTTATTCCGCATTCATCTGAGCAATCACAATATGCACATTTCAAATAACCCCAACATTCTTAAAAATTTTAAATTTAATGAAAGATAATGCTCTTACCTTTTACACATTGTGTCGAACCTGTTTCCTCTGTTGATTCTGAGGATACAGATGACTCTGTTGAGTTAGCCTCAGTAGATCCGTTAGTTAATTCTGTTTTAGATGCCACAGAAGTTGTTGAAACTGTGTCAGATTGAGCTTTTGAAAATCCGATCAAAACGAAAATAATTGTCAAAGAGAGAAATGACAACATTTTTGGCGTTTTGTTTTTATATGATTTTATTTAGTTGTATGACAAATAATGATTTAAAATCAACCGAATTTTAATCTACTTATAAAGAAACTTAAAAAGGAGGGCGAAACACAATAAAAAAGTCAAAATTTAAAAAAATTTATTTACTCATGTAGATAATAAAAATAAGACCCATGAATATTTTATTAGGATTTGTGTTATAAAAAATAACGTTAAATTACGTACCTCAAACTATAAAAAATTAAATAAAAATATTTTTCGAAAATATTTTTTTCTTTTTTTCAATGCCAAACTACAAGTTAAAATACCCAAAAATTATTGTGATTTGAAGTAAAGCCAAAAATTTATAAAAATTTTGTGTTACACATGAATTTCATTCGTTTAGTTATGTAAATATTGGGCAACTTAATATTTTTTAAATTTTATTTAAAAGTTTGTTTCGTAAAAATTTTATTCCTAAAATGTTTTTAAAATAAATATTTTGAAAATAATTTAATTAAAAAAAATTATTTTTTTTGTATAGAGATTGAAATTTAAAAAAATTCTGGCTTTAATAAAAAATCATTTTGGCGGTAAATTGATATTTCGGCTTTGAGGCAGATATCTTATCTAAAAATTGTTTGAAAAATAATTTTGAAAATTTCAAACAAATTAACCTTTAAATTCGGTTCAACATCCTCGGGGATAAAGAAAGCGGTATTTTGGTGAGTCCATTCAATTGGGGTGTTTTTTAAGTGTTTGTCAACAAATTGAGGCAAATTTTTGTTTTCTCCTTTATTGGGAGGTGTTTTAAAAGAAATATCATCTCGAATCTGTAGAGAAACTTTTTTGAAATTTTAACATGGAATTTTCTAACCTCAGCGTGGTATTGTACAAGGCCTGGATTGTCTTTATAACGGTCACAGGTATGGCGGACTAGACCATTATATCCAATCTCCCCAATTTTGAGAAGTGTCCACTGCCCTGTCTCGTTTTGGAAATAACATCCTTTTGATTGAACTTTTAAAATTTATGGGCTGTTTCAGCCTACCAGTAACCCAACGGCCAGTTTCTAGACATAGCCATTGAAAACTTTCTTCCCGGAATTTTTCGCCAACATGTTTATGATTGTTTTCGTCGATAATGCAACGAGGCTCTTTTTAAATTTATTAAATCTTTGTAATATAAATTTCAATTGGTCACCTGGTGGGTACTCCGATTCCAGACCCCTTATTTGATGAGACACTCATTGCCAGATAAAAATTTTTGAGCTCTAAATCGGACCCCTAGCGGGTAAATAAAAATGAATTTTACGGTTGCTGATTCGGTTTAATAGAGACATCGCCCAATCCTACCTTGAAATTTCCTCAAATCCTTCTAATGCCCCTCTCAATTCTCTTTTAAGAATAAAATTCCTAACCCAATTCAAGCTTTATCCGAATCGCATTAATTTCACACGCTGCCCAGAACCCGTCAATGCTCTCATTTCTTCCAACAGACAAGGATTGAAACAAAGTTTTTCCAGTACTTATATCACCGGGTAATTGGCATCCGACAAAGTTTGCGTCCGAACTGCAGATAATTTAATTTTAAAAAATCCCTGGCACACTCTCATTTTTAAATTTATTGCCTGTCAGTTCCTGTGCATCGGTAAACCCAAGTCCCTTCATCAGTCCATTCTTCACCTTGTTTCCTGCAAGCTCCGTACCAATCTCGGCAGTCACAATTACCTTAGAAAAATTTTTTAAAAATTGCTATTTTTAGACATTGCTATATGTATATAATTGCTATATAATATTGCTAAATAAAATTACTATTTATAGAAATTGTGTATGTAAGAGAAAGATCCAGCTCACTAGGCGGGGGTTATGTAAAAGAAATATCCAGCTCACTAGGCGGGGGTTATGTAAAAGAAAGATCCAGCTGCCTAGCATTTTTAACGCTCACCAGGCGAGGGTTTAAGATCTATTAAAAGAGAAGGTGAAAGCAGCGTCCCGGTAGCTCAGTTGGTAGAGCACCTGTACGCGGTGAGCGAATGCGCGTAGCAATAACTGCCATGAGGTCGCATGATCGAAGCCTGCCCGGGATTAAACTTTTGCTCGCTCTTACCATTGAAAATTTTCATTCTTAAAATTAGTGAAGTTTATCTTCCAGAGATGAATTCCTAGGGAAACAAATTCTGCGGGAGTAGGCAGACACCCCATCCTCGCTCTCTCCTATCCTAGCTTTAATTACATAAGCTTACTTGGAAGTATTTCCTTTAGACAAATTTTTTGAGCTTGTAAGATTATCATTAAAACAATTAAAATCATATTTAAAAATAAATAAAGCAAAAATATTTACAAAAAATATTTTTTATTGTCAATAATACGCTAATATTTATGTTAATAATAGCCTTCTATATTTTACAACAAGTTTATAAAATAAAAGAAACTTTTTTTTATCCAATATTAGAAGAGAAAGTAATTATTATTGAATTAATCAGCGGAAACTTTTTTATTTATTTAAGCTATTATTTTAGCTTTTTTGGAGGAAATACTCGTTTATTTATCTAATATTTATTAAAAAAGTTGTGATATTACAAAAAATATTTTAAAATAAATTAAAGATAATACATTGAATTTCACTGTAAAATACACGAACATGACTGTACTTTTGTCTTTTGTATAGATGGTTGTATCAGCTTCGTGATAAAGTATCTCTTGTTAGTCTATTCGGTACTTGTGTAGTTTACCCCCCATAAGCCCCGGACCTTTTTCTTCTCTCTTCTTATCAGCATTTAGAAGCTACTATTTCATTGTTGGGTTTATTAATTTACTTGTATTTCAATATGTTCATTTTATTATATCTTCTATCATAATATATCTTCTATAATAATAATACGTTATACTCACCCTTTCTGGTACATCATACAGCAGAGCTATGCTGTTAAATTATTTGAAGTTAATTTAACAGCAGAGCTCAGCTTAGCACCATAGTGGTATGTAGAGAGATTGTCACTTTATAAGAAAGTGGCATTTCTAATATGATTAAGTTTTTAAAAAACTGTCACTTTATAAGAAAATGAGAGACTACACAGGTATCTGTATTCTATTCTGTTAGTATCTGACAGACCGCAAGTCCATACACGGCTAAAACTTTATGGGATATTTCCATGAAATCTGGCCCATTCTATGTATTAATCTCCAATGAAATTTTCCACATCTATGCTTTAGTCAAACGTAATTTAATTTTATTATTCAACTTTAATTGACTATTCCGCCCTTAATTTTCAAATAAACAAAATTACAGGTGTAAAATATTAATTTATGAAACTCTAAAAGTTTTACTTTGTCTCTCAACAAATATTAACAATTAAAGCTGATATTTTATTAAAATTGCCACCTTTAAAACTTTTATTTTTTCCAATGTCGACAAAATTGCGCAGTACTATAACATTCTTAAACATTTAAATAAAACACAAATTATATACCTAAATTTTCACGTTAAAGCTTATAAATTTTATTAAGTTTTTTTTAAATTTGGTATTACTTTTAAAAATAATACTTTTAAAATTTATTAAACCCAACATTGGGTGGATGGTAGCATAGCCAGTTTTCACTTCTCCTTTTCATGATCTCGATTCGTTTGGGTCCTGTGACTGAGCTTGGTTGGGTGTCTTTTGACATGAAATAGCTTTACAAAATCACATCCCTTGCCGTATTACTTCGGCTCAATTCGATCCCTAGGTATCGAGTCTGATCTAGAGTTAAACGTATAAGTAATTTAAATCATTCCAAAATTTAACTAGAGCATAAGATTTAAAAATAATTAAAATCAAATTCATAATGTCCACAAATTTAACAACAACAACAACTCAACAACCACAAGAACCTCCACAGATATTTATTAATATTGCCTATATTTTGAGTATTTTAGAATTAATTATCCATCCCTTTATTTTGTCCATATCTCTATTTAATTTATTAATTCTTGTCAAAAATAATATTTTACATCAAAATTTACGAGTTTTGTTAATCGGGCAAAGCTTAACAATCATTTTATTCGAAATACAAAGAGAGATACTCGTCTCACAAAAAATGGTTTCTGGGGATATTTTCAATCCTGGATTTATAACTTTACAGGTAATAGATTAAATTAATCAGTAAGGAAGAGGAGATCAAGCTGGTAGTGTTTAAGATTTATAAGAAGGAAAGCTGAGTATATGTAGCTCCGTTAGCCCAGTCGGTAGCTCTCCATGTAAGAGTTACAGTTTTCATATTTAAAATTCACCGAGACCGCTATTAAGTTTAATTAAATTCTTTCGGAACGGACTCTTAAGCGTTGAGCGTAAGCGTTTTATGTCACGCTGTTTGCGGTGACAAAAAAGATTGGTTCCGAACAACTAAATTTTTAAAATTAAATAGATGATTGCCATATTCACGATTAATTGTGAAGCTCTTCTTGGACACGCTCTCTTTCTTGAGCGTTTAATAGCTTTTTTATTTTTTAAAATTTATGAAAAACAAAATAAGGCATATTTTGGGATTATCTCTAATATTCTAATTGTAAGTTTAAAACCCCTTACACATTCTAAAAACCTATTTTTAGTTTGTTTATTCTATCCTCTGTGGATTTACAATGTCAAAATCTTGGGATATTACCCTATTGTTTATTTCACAGATGTCTTTTTCAATAATTGCAAATTTTGCTGAAATTTTGGTTCGAAATTAATATTAAAAGCATGCTCGAATAATATTCCCTCAACTAATTACCCCCTAATTACCCCCCCCCCCCCCCTGTATATTGAGAGGTTGAAATCTGTGTTTATAAATTTCAGATTTGTTCGTACTTGTACTTCGTACCAGCTATTTTTTGCTCCTACTCGTATTTCGTACCTAAATACGGGTACGAATTTTGGTACAAGCTTATAAACACTGGTTGAAACAATAATTAGACATTAATTATTTGAGCATATACGATAAATATAAAAAAATATTTTTATAGTTTATTTGCTTTATTGGAGGATACAGCATGAAAAAATATAAAAATACGCTATTAAAATCAGGAATTATTTACTCATTAAATGAAAAATCTCAAGTAAAACTTTAATCCAATGACATAATAAAAATTTTTCTACGTAGTTATCAGAAAATATTCGAACAAGTAAACAACTCTTCCCAGTCTTTATTTGCCATTTTATTCGTAATCTTACTAATCCAATTCCACCGATAGAGCTTAATCTAGTTATACCATCATATATAATTAGTATTTCACTTATTTTATGTTTTATATTGGGATCTTTACTCAATGGAATATTGGAATTTATTATTATTACGTAAGTTTATAAGTTAATTTATTTTTAGGCTAATGTTGAAACTTTAGAGACATTATAAGACCTATTATCTTTAAAGCGGCTTTAGTTGGTTGCTAGGGTGCATAATACTCTATGAGGTATAATAAGGCCATACTAGATCTGGTCTGCTTCATAATTTGGTTTTATCTATGTTAATGAGGTTCGCTTTTATTGAAATTTTTATCAGAAACTCCTTTTGTCTTTTCATAAGTTTCCCTTTTACAGAAAAATTTAAATTAAATTTAGTGATAATATTTATCTATTTTTATTTTATAGACATCATCCATCATTGAAGAAAAACTTTATAAAAATTATCCAATTATTAAAGTTTAGAAAAACTAATAGAGTTGATGTAATTAATGAAAACTCTTCTACATTACCAAAAACAATTAATGGCAATCCTTTGTTAATTTCTAATGAATTTGAAAAACATTTTTCCATGTTAAACGATGCTTGGAATTAATTTAGAAAATTATTTTAATATTTTAATAAAATTGTTTTCAAAATAAATTTTTTGTATGTTGATAAATTTGTTTTTTTGCATAATTTTAGGTGATATTCCGAGGTGAGGGTTGTATTTTATTTTACATCTATCCTGGGTTGGTTCCATAATGATCCTTTTACATCTCTACTTCAACGAATATTTTCTGCAGCATTCTAATTCCAGCCAATTAACAGGTGTAGCTTCTAACAGTCAGACTAAACTTGTAAGGATGCCTAGCAGCATCGAAACGCTTAGAATGGAGTTAAGCATCTAAAAAGTAAGAGAAAACATTAGTCGAGGACCCGGTAGCTCAATGGTAGAGCTCCCTATAAGCGGTGGGCTAAAGCGCCTAGCAATAACTAAAAGGAAGTTGCTTGACACACTTACTCTATCAATTATTTTAATTTAATTTTTATTATTAAATTTAATTTACCAGCCTAATATTGTGCTTTTATATTTCAAATAAAACAATTTACCGGTGTAAAATCTAATTTATAAAACGCAAATGGGTTTTCAATATTAAAAAATTAGAATTAACATTTTTAAAGGTGTGTATTAATAATTTAATTTCCTCAGTCAACAAAATTGCGTGAGAAAATCTCCAAGCATTTAAATTGTGTTAAGAATTATAAAAAAAATTCGTGTTAAAGGTTAACTTTTTTTATTCATTTGTCAACATTTTTATTTAACTTTTTAATAATAACACTAAAATTTTTTATCCAAATCAGAATTATTAAATAAAACAAACTCATTAAAATAAAGTTTAACTTAATTCAATTAATGGTAGAATATCTAGATATACCTCCTTTCCTAATTATTTCGGCTCAATTCGGTTCCCAAAAGTATCAAAAGTTTGATCTAGAGTTAAATGCATAACAGGGATGTGCCCAAACAGATTTTAAAAGGCGAAAGACGGAAGGCGAAATGGCACACCCCTGATGTACATATAAGTAATTTAAATTATTCTAAAATTTAAATTAAGTATTCATTTTAAGAATATTAGAATTAAAATTCATAAATGTCCACAAACTTAACAACAACAACAACTCAACAATCACAAGAACCTCCACAGATACTATTTATTAACATTGCTTATATTCTGAGTATTTTAGAATTAATTATACATCCCTTTATTTTGTCCATATCTCTATTTAATTTATTAATTCTCATTAAAAATAATATTTTACATCCAAATTTACGAGTCTTGTTAATCGGGCAAAGCTTAACCATTATTTTATTCGAAATACAAAGAGAAATACTTGTCTCACAAAAAATAGTTTCTGGGGACATTTTCAATCCTGGATTTATAACTTTACAGGTAATTTATAAAGATTGAGTCATCCCGACGGTCCAGGCATTTTTTCGTGCTTGTTTTTATCGAGTCGGGCCGGTACGAGTCTTTTTCGAGCCAAACAACTAGGCTCGGCCCCCCCCCCCTGCGAAAAAAGTCAACCTAAGGGTTGACTTTTTGGAAGAAACCCCATTCATCGGCTTCAGTTCTTTTAGGAAAATTCTGACTTTTTAGCCTTTAAAATTTTAAAATTTTTTGCCTGCGACGCTGATTTCCAGCCTCTTCAATCCTCGATTTCAGTTAGTTCAAAAACCTCAATCTCGACTAACTCTAGTTGAGATTGAATGGGGTGACTCAAAGCTATTTCTCTTAAAGCTACTAATAATATAGGTAGGTATTAATTTTTAAATTATCAGATGATAGCCACCTTCACACTTAGCTCTGAAGGACTTCTTGGACATGCTCTCTTTCTTGAGCGTTTAATAGCTTTTTTATTTTTTAAAATTTATGAAAAACAAAATAAGGCATATTTTGGGATTATTGCTAATATTTTAATTGTAAGTTGAATAAAAATTCTAGGAACATTAAAAACTATTTTCAGTTTGTTTATTCTATCCTCTGTGGATTAACAATTTCAAAGTCTTGGGACTTTACCCCTTTGTATATTTTGCAAATGTCTTTTTCAATAATTGCAAATTTTGCTGAGATTTTGGTTTAAATTTTATATTAAATTAAAAAAATATTTTTGTAGTTCATTATTCTTATTGGAGGAAACAGCATGAAAAAATATAAAAATACATTAATAAATTCGAGAATAAATTACTCATTAAGTGAAAAATCTCAGGTAAATGTCTATTTACAGATTTATTTACCGTATTTGCTAAAATAATTACCCAGGGTAATTATTGTTTCAATCTCTCTCTGGAGGGGGTAGGGAGGTTGTGATTATTTGAGATAGGGGCATTATTTCAGCATTTACGGTAATTGATTTAATTATGGGTTAATACCAAATCCTGGGGAATCTCACAGATGCTAAAAATCATTTATTTACTGTAGCATGTAAGAGGACCCTTCGTATCCCTTCAAATACCATCGATATCAAAATAAATATTCTCTTGAATATGATCTAGCTTCTCATTTGGTTAGCAAATCCATTCTTTATCTCTTAGAGCATCTTGTAGATGAAGTTCACATTGTTTGTGGATAAAGTTCACACTTGTGGGATAAGGTTCACACTGTTTTACATAAGAATATTACAGATACATTTTAATGAATTATATGATTTATTACATATTCAATTTTCAGTTATCAGAAAATATTCGAACAAGTAACCAACTCTTCCCAGTTTTTATTTGCCATTTTATTCGTAATCTTACAAATCCAATTGCGGCGATAGAGCTTTATCTAAAGATACCTTCATATATAATTAGCATTACATTTATGTTAGCTTATATATTGGGATCTTCCCTTAATGGAATAATTGAACTTTTTATTATTACGTAAGTTTATAATTAAAAAAATAATTTAAAGTTTATTCTGGGGTCTTAGGTGTCGAAAAATTTGGGTGAGGTTTGGGTTTGTTGGGGCTGTGAGATTTGGGGTAGGGCTCGAAATATCGTTCGGGTTTTGCAATGAAAGTTTAGTGTCGAAATATTGGATGAGATCTTTGAATTATATATGATTTGTGGCCAAAAAAGGTCTGGGTTTGTTACCTTGTTGTAGGGATCATTCGTGCTTAACCCTACTTTTTGTAGCGGAAATACAGTACTTCATAATATTTATTTTTAATTTATAGACATCATCCATCATTGAAGAAAAACTTTATTAAAATTATCCAATTATTAAAGTTTAGAAAACCCAATAGAGTTGGTGTAATTAATGAAAACTCTTCTACATTACCGAAAACAATTAATGGCAACCCTTTGTTAATGCCGAATGAATTTGAAAAACATTTTTCCATGTTAAACGATGCTTGGAATTAATTTAGATAAATATTTTAAAATTCTGAATAACATTGTCTTTAAAATAAATTTTTATTATGTTTGATTTGCTGCGGTGTGGGAATTTTTTGTGAATTTAGAAAGGCCAACAAGCCAGATTTCTCAAATTTTTACCAAAATTTAAAAATTGACGATATCAAAAATTTCGAAAATCGAAAGAAAAGCCTCAAAAATCGAAAATTCAAAAAGATCTGCAGTTCACCACCCTTAAACTCTATTATCGGTTTAATCACAAATTCATCAACATAATTTTATTTTAATTTTACCGCTACATATAATATAATTAAAATAATCCTATCCAAAGAATATAATGTGTTTTTAATTAGTATACTTCCTCATTTTTTAGAAGCTGTCAGCGTTAAAACTCCTTTATTCGAAAGGTGGCTCTTTAGAGTATCAGGCACAACATCATTCGGTAAACGATAAGAACGGTGGATTTCTCGCTTAACACTCCCGTGTTCATCTAAAGTTTATAGAATCTTGAATTAACTCCCTTTAAAATAAATTACCCTTTCGTGGCTCATGAAGACAATGAATTAGCACATCTTGCCCTGCCACTTTTACCTTAAATATGTTTTTAAATAATTCTCGATTGTGCTGCAGAAAAATTTATTAGATGTGGGATGGATTATAACCATCGTAGAAATGGTTCAATCAGATATTCCCTTCTATTGCCACCCTACCCACACCCTCCCCAGATGATTTGGTTACTTTTCTGCAATGCCTGACACAATACACTGCTTATCTCAAAACTCGTGTTATACCCCGAATCCTGAGAGTACCTTTCTCGGATTGTCAGTTATACTCCAACGCGCTCCGAAAAACGTGCCCTCGGGATTCGGTGTACAACCCTACTTAAAACTATTTTTACCTCAATTTCATGAGGCAAAAAGAATTGAACATCCAGGCCAACTTCAAACTTTTCTTTTGTATTGTGTACTTTGACTACACCGTCTGTGTGTTGAAGTGGCCCTTGAGAGTTTCGAAATAAAATTTTTAAACAAATCCAAGTCCCCTACAATCCCATTGAGCAGCAGAATCATGTTCCACAGCAATGCTTCCACTTGGAGGAGCAGCACTCATTGTGTGGAATGGAAGAGTTGCAAACTTCAATGATGGGAGATCATTGATTTTCAAGGAAAATGGCATTTAAATTTATGGGCAAGCGAGGGAAGGAGAGAAGTGGAAAGACAAAATAAAAATTTTATGGGGTAAATTAAAATTCGGAAATCTTTCTAAGGGGGATTTCAGAGGATTTTGAAGGATTATATAAAAACCCTAAAGGCATATGACTCTGTTTCATAGTTTAGAACCTCGCGCACACATTTATTCCCTCCGTTTAACTAACCTAGGTAAGTTGAATAAATTAAGAATAAAAATTAGACCTTTAAAGACTTAGTATGTTTTTCACAGAAAATGAGGGAATATTAGGCTGTAATTTTCAAATATTGTAAAATTATGAGGGAAGGTTAAGCTATAATTTAACTTAAATCTCAATAATAAAATGTATTTTGGAACTTGACAACTTTAAAACTGTAAAATACTTAAAACAGTCATTATTAGCCAAACAGTAACGATAAAAAGTGATCGATCCTCGCAAAAAAAGAGAGAAAATCTCTTATTTTTGTCTCATTTTACTTGAACAAACAAAAATTGTTATGCGCAAAACTAACCGTTGTTTTTCTAGATTTTTTTAAGTTTGAGCATTTTTGATGCAAAATTAAATATTTCTATTAAATGTGAAAAGAAATGGAATTGTTCAATTGAAATTTTATACAGGTCGAAAAAAAGTTGAAAATTTGGAAAAGTATAAAAGCCTTTGCTTTTATTCACTCTTGTTTAGTTTACTCCCAAGTTAACGTCTTTATTGAATCAAAAAAATTTTCACATGACTTTAATTATGTTAAAAACAGAACGCCAAAGAGAAATTTGACACCTATGTGATGTACAGTCTCACTAATTTCTAATATTGAACTACAAAAATTACACCTGAAACAATGCAAATTTGAACACAGATTTTATAATCATCCATGGTTTTCTTTCTTTTATTTACTTAATATGTATTTTTCAATTATAGACTAGTACATATGTTTGTATTCATTATTCAAAGCTTTGTTTGATGGTATCATGGATTTTGTTCAATTTTTCAAATTATAAATTGTTACGATCCTGAGGTCATTGTTATTTTGTGCAAAAAGAAAGATGAAATCTTGATTGAAAAAGACAACTGACTTAAAAAATAGAAAAATAAGAGAATTAGAAAATATTATTTTCAATTGTTTTCAATTATATCAATAGCTGCTTTTATTTTTCCTTTCATATTTGCACTAAAATATTTTCTTGTTGTTGTTTTTTGTCTGGATTTTTTATTAAATAAATGAAAATAAAATTAGCTCATTGCTTTTTACTTTAAATTACTCAATAAATATCCAAGTCGCTATTTTTTAAACACAAAAAAATTTTTTATTTGAACGAGGAGATACTCAATTTTTTATAAAAAATTAAATTATTATCCCAATAAAACTAGACATTTGTTTAAAAATGGCAATGGTATCGCGTCGTCGCGATACTTTTTTCATTAATCCTCCAATGGAAAAACCAAAGAGGAATGCGAATATAAAACCCTCCCATCAACAACCCCCTCCTACTTTGCAATCAACTACAGCTGAAAGTTTTGACATGGTAGAATTAAAATTTCTAAGCTAACTACAATTAGAATTCTCTTCAAAATTCTTAGGATGAGAGTAGCGATGGGGAAACCGCAGCGGTTACAGAGCCGGTTGGCGGCATTGAAGTTTTACAAATCCCAGCACAAAATTCCTACGATATGGAAGCATCTTTGACAAAATCCGAGAAAATGTTTAAAGTAATCTAAACTATGTTAGAATGGCTATAAAATATAATTTAGTATATCAGATTTATTGGCCCACATGTTGGTCTAGTTTTATTGTTGGTTGTTTACCTACTTATTGGAGCTACTATTTTTGTAATAAAATTAAAAGAAGATTCTTTAATTAATTTTAAAAAATTTCCAGCATTATTTGGAAGCGTCAAATGAAGTGCTGGTAAATTTAGAAAAATTTTTTAAATTTTCATATTAAAATATTCAAGACAAGAGATAAAGAAATGCGTGAATTACTAGCTTTGAGGGACCATTTTCATGATACTATTTGGAATTTGACACAATCCGATGAGAGTGTTATTTCTCAAGATTCGTTTTATGGAATTGGAAGGGAATATTTTGATAAGGTTATTGTAATTTGAGGGAAGCTGGGAAATTTTTTGAATTTGTTAGCTGGTCCTTCGAACATTTGAAGCTTGTCGAAATCAATTTACAAACGAACGGCATTTATTAAACAAAACAAGGGAAACTACAGAATTGTTGTGGACATATACTAACAGTCTTTTCTTTGCAACTACTGTTATAACTACAATCGGTTACCTATTTTCTCAATTACCGTTAATGTCCTAATAGAAGTCTTGGACTTAAATTTTCAAGGGATCTCACTGAGTGGACGTTTATTAGGGCATTTACTCAGTCATTTCCCTTACTAAGATAATTTCCCCACCTGTATTTAGTACCCTCCTCATTGAAGGATTGCCAAGTACATTTACCTGGGAAATGTACATACAGTCCCCAGCTAAATACAGTCTGATCTCAATTTACAAACACCCTCGGAGCTGAAATAATCTTCTTACTATAGTGGGATTCCATCTTATATGGTAATGAGATCTAAAATTTAAATGGAGCTGTACATATCTGGTCTTAAATTAACGATAATCTACTTAATTTTAAAGGTTATGGAAATCTCGTTCCAATGACACGTCTTGGCAGAATTGCCTGTATTTGTTTTGCATTATTTGGCATTCCCCTTTTGTTAGTCACAATTGCAGATATCGGAAAATTTCTTTCAGATTTTCTCAATTTTCTTTATAAGACATATCATGCTTTCAAACTTAAGGTCCATTTAATGGCTTTATTTTTCAAAATATAATTAAGGTCCGTAAACAATCAAGGCGATTGTCCCGTTATCGGACAACGTCTAACTCTACAATAGGGGATTTAAGAAGTGAAGGTTCAACATCTAAAGCTGGCAGTTTAAATTTAAATGAATTGAGTGGAAGCGAAATGGAAGACCAAAATATGGAGGGGAGGGAATTACGCATTCCCGTTGTGATGGTTCTGTTTGTTCTTTTGTGTTATTGTGGAATTGGGGGTTTATTGTTTTGCAAATGGGAAGGATGGTCTTACTTTGAGGGTTTCTACTTTTGTTTTATTACAATGGCAACAGTCGGTTGGTCCGTTAGTAATTTTATTTTGGGAGGATAATTTAGAACTGAGAGGATCAAGTGGGGTTTCAAGACTCTCAGTTGAGGAGCTAAGACTCTTTAAGGCCCTCTGCATCGCTCTCTCATTAAGGAAATGTTGAACGAATGTCTCCTTAACTGTTATGTTGTCGGAGTTTCACTCCTTAAACAGGCACTAAACTTCTGCTCAACTCCCGCTTAAATTTGGATTACTAAAAAAATATTTTTTATTAAAGGATTTGGAGATATTGTTCCAACTCAATCTTCCACTTATATCATTTTAGCTTACATAATATTTGGCTTATCATTGTAATGTTTAATTTTTTATTATTTAAAATTAATTTAAAAAAGAGCAACAATGTGTATTGACTTGGCCGGCACAGAATATATCAGAAAAATTCATTATCTCGGCTCGAAGATGGAAGATGCCAAAGGTACTGTAATTACTGGACTTAGGGCTGGAGAGTATATTCTTAAACATAGAGGTTGATTTTGAATGCTTTCTGGCTCAAAATCTAAAATTCTATTAAAAAGGCATCGAAGTAATTAGAACAGCTAGCGGCAAATTGATACAAGTTGGTGGGGCAATGCTAAGTCTTAAACAAGCAAGAGAGTTGGGTGTTAGTTATGTTCTATCAGAACTTGATTTGGACAGTAAAAATTCAAAAAATAAATTGTATGATCCTCCTAGTGCTGCTGTACAGAGATTATTAAAAGGAAAAAATATTAAGGTAAAGTTCAACGGGACTTTTGTGTAATTGAAGGGCTGTTTAGCGTATATCATGGTTAATGTTATGTCCTAGGATCCATACCAACTTAAATACTAACAGAAAAACAAAAGAATAGAAGAACGCTTTATCACGAGTAAATACAAGAATAACAAAGGTGACAATAGTCAGGAATATGAAGAACTTGTGGCGACGGTAGGCCTGACCAAGACTGATCAACAATGTTGTTTTTCGCTAGCCCCCATACCTAACAATTTAATAAACTATTGCTATGTGTTTCTATCTCGATGCCACGGCAAAAGTTCATAAAACGCCCTTCCGTTTACACACATGCTTATCAAAATTTAAATAATCCATTATACATTTTTCAAATTTAAAGATTATGCCAAATGAAATTAATGAAGACGACGGGGTAATATTACAAAATAGTAGTTATGGAAAACCTTTTTTGTTACTACAAGCTAGTCCAAATGCTATACATCGGTTTTCAAAAATCATAATTTAATTCTTATCTTATTTCTAGTTATATGGTCCCAGCAGACAGAACACAAAATAATTCTTATGCGTTACTTGTTCCTTTTAATTTAAAGGAATCTAATATTTGAATTTTTAATAAATTTTTGTATTTTTGAATAAAGATTTTATATCTTTTATTGAAATTTGAGTATTAAATAATATGTTCCTGCTGTGGAAAAATTCATTGGATTTGAGATAGAATTGAAATCATAGAACGAGTCCCGCCCATAGCCCACTGGCTGTGTCATTATCCAAACGTTATTTTTATTCTTTTATATTCTTTCTGCAACTACGGGCACAACGACTCCGACTTACCCCCATTGTACCGCCGAGCTATAACCTCGTTCAAAATTATTGAATCCGGGGCGTCTTGGTATGGTTCGATGCGCCTTAGTGTTCTGAATCGAATCATACCAGGTAGTCTCGGATTTGATAATTTTGAACCAAGTTATATCTTGGCGGTACATTGGCCTGCTCCCGAACACATTATAAATTATTTAATAAAAATATTTAAAGAACAGGATTATGTAATAGTAAACTAATTTTTAATAATAAAATACTACAAGTTTCGAACAAATAAGATTCGATTTTTATCAATAACTTGATCCAGGTTTTTTCCAATTTCTTCCTCAAAATTTGAATTTTGCCCTCAAAAAAGAACACAATAAGCAACGGCGGACATATCCGCATATAAAATTTTTTTATCAAAATCTGCTAACATTGCAAAAAGTGTTTCCTTCAAAACCAACTTGTGTTGCGCATAAAACAACAAATTAGTTATTTTATTCAAAAAATCTCTAAAAATTCCAAATTTATTTTCAATTTTCTCATTCTTATTTTTTAAATCATAAACGTATCTATTTAACATTCCTGCAAGTTTTCGCCGACACTTTTCATCAAAACTACCTAACGCGTCCAAAGGCTTAAATTTATCACCATAATTGGCCTTTTCTATTTCCTTTTTAAATTCAATTAAGCATTTGATGGAGTCATTGAATAATACAGCCATCTTAAATTGATAATTTAATTAATTAAAAGTTACCAAGTGGCCTAGTTATTTTTCCTCTTGACATCCATTAATACTGTAGTGATTAAAATAATTACTCTGGGTAATTAGCAAGCAAACGCTGTGAAAGAAGAAGGCTCGAAATCTGTGCTAATGACTTTGCCAGCAATTGTGTGCAATCCAAAACGCCCTCATCAACAGAGGAAGAGGCTCTTATATTCTTGGATGCTGGAAGTCAGCGCTCCTTTATATCGGCAAGGTTGACATTACTAGGCGTGAATTGTATACTCGTTAAATAGACTTTCCGGGACCGGAACTTTCGGTGAAACTCTAATCTACATAACACCCCCCTCCCCCATTCTCTATTTTTTTATCCATTTAATAATCTCCCAAAAAATTGATAATTTTGAAAGTAAAATAGAAAACTAGCTTTATATTCCACTGACTCTTTCTCAACATTTTTATCAAACCCCAGCGTTGCAAGTAAACACTCGATGCTTTTTTCAATATTTTTTGGCTTTACTATTTTCAAAAATTTTTCAATATTTTCCAAAATTTTTTTAACTTTTTCATTTTTGTAATCCTCAAGTAGAGGTTTTGTTAATTGTTCTTTAAACTCGTCTGTTAAATTTATATTAAATTTGTATTCATTCTTCGAATTGCTAGTATTTTTTAAATGGGTTTCTTTAACTAAGCTAATTATCCTTTCCGCAAAATAAATTAAACCAAGATGCTCGTTATTTCCATAAAGCATTTCTTTTAGAGATGAAGTTACTATCTGAAAAATACAGCATTACGTTTATGAGTGCTCAAATGATTACTCTGGGTAATTAATCTTTAATCTCTCGCTGTGGGCGGTACTCAATCGAGAGGTGGAGATTGGGGTTGTACCTCGTCTCCGAAATTGGAGAATATGGAGATTTATCTCATTGACTCCCCGTTTTCTCTCCCCCACCCTTCCTCTCGTGACGCGGCTACCCGATCATTTTACCAGAGCCTTCCCCCCAGTTGGGGGACTAACCTAAAATTAATGCCAATTATTTGAGTGTGTGTAAATATTTTTGTTTTAATAATAAAGACTTTAACCTTATTCCTATAAGTTATCAACTCTTTCAAATCCTTTCCAAGACCTTCAAGATTATCCAAATTATTTTCAATTTCACTCCATTTCGATTGTCCAAGTTCTTTTTTGAATAAATACAAACCATTAACAATACGCTTCAAAAAGGGGAAAAATTCTTCCCTTGATATTTCCCCATCAATTAGGGTAAAATTAACCAAAACAAAAAATAAAATAAACAAAATTAATTTTAAAAACATTTAAATCTAAATAAAAAATAAATAAAAATTTTATTTAAAAGAAAATAATAAATTAATTTAAAATAAATATTATTGAATAAAAATATTAGACGCTTAAAGCATTGCGCAATTTAATTGACTATTCAAATTTTTATTAAAGCCTAGAATAAATAGAGAGAAAATGAGAGATAAAAAGAAAATGAGAGATAAAAATCAATGATAAAATAAAAAATAAATTACATAAAATCCAATAAGCTAAACATCGAAAGTTAATAAACATGTCGATGATGAAATTGAGGATTTAAAGATTTTATATAATTTTAATATTTTTTTATATTTTTGAGGAATTTTGTTTATTTTTGTGTGGTGATTCAGTGAGTTCTGACTATGTAATTCTGAGATATTTTAATTCCCTATTATAAAATAGAAAGATGAAAATTCAGCGGCTGGGAGCGAACCGGCATCTTCAGTAGGTCGGACTGATATCCATTAAGACACGCCGCCTACTGCACATCCTTAGAAATCAAATAGTGAATTAAAATTTATAAACTAATATCTACAAGTGATAATTAATATCTTTAAATTATGATGAATTATCTTTATAAATTTGTTCAATTTTCTTCCATTTCTTCCTTAAAATTTTTTTTCTGCCCTCAAAAAAGAACACAATAAGCAACGGCTGACATATCCGCATATAAAATTTTTTCATCAAATTCTGCTAACATTGCAAAAATTGTTTCTTTCAAAACTAGCTTGTGTTGAGCATTAAACAGCAAATTAGTTAATTTATCCTTAAATTCCAGGAAAATTTTAGCCTTAGCGATAATTTTTTCGTTAGGAGCTTTTAAATTATAAAAATATTTATTTAGCATTCCTTCAAGTTTTGGTCGACAATCTAAGTTAAAACTTTCTAATCCTCCCAATGGCTTAAATTTATCAACATAATTCGCCTTTTCTATTTCCTTTTTAAATTCAATTAAGCATTTGATGGAGTCATTAAATAATACAGCTATCTTAAATTATAAATTTACCGTATTTCCTATATTAGAGCCCCATGGGGCTCTATTTTTCAACTATCCTCCAAGGTGGGGGTGTATTAAAGGGTGGGGCTCTAATTGAGGGTGGGGCTCTATTTTTCGACCCTCTTTTGAGATAAAATCCCATTTATTAAATATCTATTGCAGCTAAACGTCGGTCGGAGGTTTTGAGATATTTTTTCGATAAATAGAAAAATATCGAAAAATGGCCGATATTTTTAGGGTTTTCAAATGGGATATTTGGACTTGCTATGATTAAAACTTGATATTGACGGATTAAAAGAAATTTCAAGGGACTTGTATTTGTCATCGATGGATCAAGAAGGGTATAAGTTGATATTATCGAGGCATACCTATAAGCGGACTTTAAGAGATCATGTGAAATATAGGAGGATTAAGGTGATATATCAGAGATTTAGATTGTGCAAGAGGGAAATTGTTGATTTGGGGTATTGGAAGTGATATCAAGGGATTTTTTTGGAATATGAGATATTAAAGTATTTGGATAGATATCGTGTAATTAGGGTTGGGGTTTTCGAGTCGGCCCAATACCACGATATCCATCAATCCTTATATCCCCCTAATCTTTCTTTTAAACAACAATACTACCTTTGTTCACTTCACTATTAATTCGCTGTTGGGAAAAATTAAAAAAACTTATTTTTACTCCAATTTTTTATGTGGGGCTGTATTAGGGGTGGGGCTCTAATTGAGGGTGGGGCTCTATTTTTCAACTATCCTCCAAAGTGGGGCTGTATTAGAGGGTGGGGCTCTAACAAAGGGTGGGGCTCTAATATAGGAAATACGGTATTTGTGTAACTCGGGAGTGCATTGTCCAAATATTATCAAATTTTGCAAAAAAAAATCTACAAGACTACATCAACGTTACTGCCATCTGCAAGACATTACATGTATTTGTCTCCCATTTTTCGGGAAGTTGGATGTAACTTTTTTATTCTCGATAGTATTGAGATGAAATTTTCATCAACGATAGTTAACATCCTTGTAAATAAAATAAAAAAGAAATTAGGTAAATCGGTAAAATAGTAAAAAAGTTATGAATTTTTAACTCAAGGGGACTCATTATTTATGTCTAAACACAGTGATAATCAATCGTGCCTTTAAAAAATTTAAAACTTGCTTCATATTCAACCGACACTTCCGGAACACCGTCAGCAAAACCTAGTGTTTCAAGTAAACACTCGATGCTTTTTTCGATATTTTTTGGTTTTACTATTTTCAAAAAATTTTCAATATTTTCCAAAATTTCGTCTTTTAATTCCATTTTTTCAATATCAAATAAAGGTTTTGTTAATTGTTCTCTAACCTCTTCTGATAAATTTTTAATAAACAATTCTTGTTCTTTCTTTGAATGATTTTTAAACTTGGTTTCATTAACTAAACTAATTATTCTTTCTGCAAAATAGATTAAACCAGGATGATTGTTCCCGTGAAGGATGTCGTTTATAGATGGATTTGCGGACTGAAAATTTTTATTTGATTTTTTATTAGTCTTTTAGTTAGCTGGGGACAGTATTTAAACGATAATTTAAAAAATTTTTGGAGTCTAAAAGGATAAAACACAAAAATAGGGGTGGAGGTATGGTTATGTAAAGCACTTTATTTTGTTTATGAGTTTCTATATAAGCTCTGTCGGAAATGACGAAGGTGACGGAAATTGGAAATGGAACAAAATCGGAACTCGGAAATCAGGCTAAATTTCCGGAAATCGGAAGTGTTGTGTTGTATTATTGGATTGGGGGAGCGATATCGAGGCAGGCACATTTGAAGGGATTAAAAGAGATATTGAGGGCTTTGGGTCTCCAATTTTTTAAAGAATAATTTAATATATTAACCTTAACATTCCTATAAGTCACCAACTTCCTCAAATTTTTTCCAAGATTATTTTTTTCAAAAATTGTCTCCAGATTATTCTTAATTTCACTCCATTTTGATCGTTCAAGTTCTCTTTTGAATAAATATAAACCATTAACAATACCTCTAATAAAATTTGCTTTTGATATTTCCCCATCAATTAGGGTAGAATTGAACAAAACAAAAAATAAAATTGGGAAAATTAATTTTAAAAACATTTTTATCAAATTTTTAAAATGAAAATGAATAATAAATTAATTTAAAATAAATATTGTCTAAAAAGGGCATTGAATAAAGACGCTTAAAGCATTATGAAATTTAATCGACTATTAGATTTTTATTAAAGCCTATAGACAGTGTTTAGATGGAGAAAAGGAGAGATAAAAGATAAGAATAAATTATGAAATAGACGTATAATTAAAAATACCCACATAATCAACCTTGAAGATTGGAAGTTAAAAAAAACAATTAGGTATTGTAAAGCATATAGCTATTTAATTCCTAGAGCTACATCAGTCCGGTCTACTTAGATGCTTGTTCGCTCCCACTGGCCGAATAGACTTTTGCATTAGTTGAAGGAGAGAAATAGCTATTGTCCAGCTCTGCTTTACAGTATATTTTTCTTATAAATGCCAGATTTTGTTATATATTTGTTTATATATCAGACACCGATCAACGGTTTCAAGACACTATACGAGTATGCTCAAATAATTACACTGACAAAAGTATATTTCTAGAGGTGATAGTTAATTGAGGAAATCATTCAATTTTGACATTGTTTCAACCTCTCGTTCGAGAGGCTTCGAGATCACCACTTATTTGAGAGAGTATTATTCGAGCATATAGCTAGTTACAAATTTTTTACTTAAATTCAAATTCATTTTCAAATGATTCCTGAGTTTATGATCTATACCCAAACATATGCCTAGCAAAACAAATTAGGCACAAAATTTGTGTTAATATACAAAAAATATTGAGAGGTGAGAGGTAGAAATTTTCAAATTGATTCAAGTCTTCTTCCAACAATAAACTTATTTGGAGGTTTTTATTGTTTAATTCTACTTCTTTAATTTTTGAACGATTTGCAATTAATTTCCACCAGGCAAAACGTTTAATACATTGCCCTCCTTTGACCCAATAATTGTGAATATCTGGGATTGTTAATGCACCAGGTTTTATTTTTGAATGGGCGAGTTCGCAAAGTTTGCATATTGCACGTTCAGATGGTTCAATTACGCTTTCTTTTCGATAATAACGGGTCCAATTGAAGAATCTATGATTTAATTTTTAGGTTTGTTTTGAATTAATACAGTATTAACCCTAAATACCGTATACTGTATTACCTCTAACAGATACCTTATCATATCCCTGTTACCTCTAATAGAATACCCCCTCCTTCATTTGAATGCCCCTACTGATAGAATGAATGCCCTTTTATAGGTATTTGTAGGCAGAATGAATGCCCCTATGTAGGATGATCCTTTGGAGATTAAAAATGTCCTCACCAGGCATTCAGAGGGAATACAGTATTCACAAAAATATACTTAAATACCTCAAATACTCTTTCTCATTTCTACTCATTTCAATTAAATATTTAGCCAAATCCTGAGCATTAGCAAAATCATCAGCTCCAATAAATGAATCGCTGGGTATGTTTAATCCTTGTAAAGCAGCTCGGCTTAGTACAACAGGGACAGCTAATTTACGAAAAGGATACCAAAATTTTTCTGTTACATAATTCCTGCATACAGAATTTTCAAATGCCAAATAAAAGAAATGTGAATCTTGAAAATTAGAAAAATGTAGATTAACTTATACGGTTTGACTCCTGTATGTACATGAAGGACTTAGGGAAGCTATCCAAGCCAGGCATGCTCATAGTTTCAAATTCTAATACCCGTATCCGTCTTAAAATTTTTTTTGTTCATATTCATATCTATTTATATCCTCGGCATTTTTTGATAATATACGCCAGCGGATATCCACTAACTTATCCTCATCCATGTTTCCTCGCCCAACGATAACCCTTTAATGTACCTCAATATAAAAAAAAATCTTTTTGCGTCCAAGATTGTATCTTAAAGTGAACCCCGACAGCAGTTCCATAGTTTAAATAACCCACCTAACTCATTTTCATAACAATTTTTATCACATGATTTATTATAACATTTTCCATATAAAGTTAAATTTATATATTTTGACAATTCTTGAATGTACAAATCCCGTGCCGATATTGCATTGCAATTAGATATTATGGCTATAGCCAATTTTGTTTTCTTTCTAAATTTCTCTAATATCTAAAAATTATTTTTTTTCCGGAAATTTTTATTCAGAAAACCTCATCTTCTGTCCATATATCCTTCGTTTCTAATTTTTTATCAATTTTGTGTAAGGCTCCATAAGGGGCATGCAAATTATTTTTGTCTTGTGCCAAATATGAAATTGTTAAATTAAAAAAATCTTTTGATGGATAGGCATCGGAATTGAAATTGTATGGGGATTCTAGATTGAATAATGCATAAATTTGATTAGAAGTTCTTTTAGATGGAAATCCATTGGATAGGGAATTTGCATGGAATACTATTGCTGCTGCATTTAAATAACTGTAAATATTTTTTTAATTGAGATTATTTAATTTTTATTAAATTTTGCTTGTGATTTTAAAATATTTTAGGCTCCGTTCTCTTCTAAAAATTAATTTTAAAAGCCTCTGATTGGATGCCCAGATAGCCTTCCAGAGAGGCATTTTATTAGAGGGGATATTCATATGGAGGGACATTATTCTAATTATTAATAGGTATAAAGTGGAGAAAAATAGGTCCCCTTATAACTTGATCCCATTATCACTATTTGGATAAAGTTATGCCAGAAATAACGTGCCGCATGACTTTTTGGTCACCCTGTAAATACTAGACTTCTAAATGTAATTTATTACTTGGTTATATTGTCAGAGTAACTACATTGATAATGACATTCAGATGTTTGTGAATATGGAGCAATCGTTTCTATTACATTGCCAGAACCGAAAAAATTGTTCCAGCCTAATATTATAGGTAAATCTGTTGCATTATCATTTGATTTTTGCTGAAATTTTAAGAAAGTTTAGAGACACTTCTATTCCTTGTTCCCACATATGATGGTTTGAACCGGAACCGGAACTTCCGGCGCAACACTATAAACCCCTATCTGGGGTTATATGAGTGTCAAATTCCTTGTTCCCTAATATGATATGGATAACATCCTATCTGGGGTCTATTTCTAACTTTTCCAAAGAAGTAATTGATGTGAAGTGGGGGAATTTAATTTTAAAAAAAGAAAATGAAACGTGGGAAATTGGCCTTGGAAGAGTTAGAAACAATTTTCCCAGCTCCTAGCTTTGCTAAAGATGAGAAATAATCCCTGATTAGATCATCAAACAATTTTTAGATGAATTTAATATTACCTCTGAAAGTCCAAATTTCAAAATTAGAAATAAACCAAATAAAATAATAATTTTAATTTTTATTAAACTAAGCATTCTAGTATATAAAAATTAAAGATTATATATTTTTAAAAAATATTTTAAATAAAATATTAAATGATTAAATAAAATTTTATTATTTATATTTTTTTATTCTGTGAATCAGATTAAATGGAATGTTTATTTAATTGATTTTACATATTTTATATTTTTTTAAATATTAAATTTATTGGGAAAATTGACTTTAATTTAAAAAAATTTTTTTTTAAATCAGAGAGTGAGGGATATACCCGAGAAAATCATTAATTAATTCATTAAGGATACATGGCCAAGTATATAATTAATGTATATTATTTATTCACCTTTTCCCGACTACCTTTTAAGGACAGTTTTATTGAAGGATGTAAAACAAACACAAAAAACTGGAAACATAAAGGAAAAAAATTAAGAGGGATAAAGTAGAAAATCGGTAGCTTGAGTTTTTCTAGTTTTTCTAGTCCTACTCGCTTCAATTTAGTTTATAAAGTAGAATATTTATGGAACTAGAATATAATCAAGACAAGAGACTGGATTTAAGTATAGATCTTGATACAGAATATTTTTGTGATATCGATTGTAAGAATTAAAATTAAATATTTTCTCGATTGGTTTGCTTGTTTACTTGTGTTAAAAGCAGACATAATTTCACAAATCAGTGCCGTAGACTTAACCCAGCTAACGGGAAAAAAATCTTGACTATCTAAATTATTAAACACTGTCTCGATTCAATTTCTAATACAAAATCTACAACTAAACCTATGCAAACGTCAACCATTGTTTAATAATCTTAAATAAAAATTTTCTACGTCAGCTAGAAAATATTTAAATCGAGGCATTCGTAAAGATTTAAAACTAAATCGTCGCTTCTTAAAAGTAAAGAGTTAATCTAGCAATTAAATATATTTAAATATCGAGAACTTTAAAACTTCTTATACGTTTTATAGAATAAATCTTAAATAAATCTTTAAATAAAATTTTCGGTGAATCGATAAAATTTTTAAAAAATATTGAAAACTGACGTTGGCTTTTTTTGTTTACACAGGTTAAATAAATAATTTTAACTGCTTAACTAGATGATAAAGCTATTTTAAATTTTTATCTATATTAAAATTTAAAAAATCAATCTTTATTTTAAAATTAAACAATAATTAAACAAATAATTTTTTAATAATTGAATTATCAGAATTTGACTGATTCTTGTTAACGAATATTTCTTTGACATGACATTCTTCTCAACTACACTGGCGTTAAACTGGAACCTCAATTCTCAACGTCTGTTAAATTTTATGACCCAAACTTTCAGGAATCCACATTGTTTGACAGATTTCACCTTTCATCAGAACTTTTCTTGTCAGAACTTCGACTTCTTTTATACCATTGTTTTGGCTTGCTTTCACTCTTGATTACATTATTTTTCTACAATTGTTTTGTTTTTTTTTGTTGAGGATTGATTGTCTATGACTTTGCCACTTTTACTACTTTTATAAATAAAAAATATAATATTAAGTAGATAAGTTAAATAATTTATCGCACAAAAAACAATAGTATGCTTATACAAATTTATTCAAGGCTGTATCTTCTTCTAATCCATCCACTTTATATTTTTTATTTTTTATTATTTTCTTTTAATATTTTTGAAGAGCTAAATAATATATCCACTCTTCAAATATACTTTTATTTCATCTTCTATTCTTCCCCAACCCTCATAAAAACTAAGCTTTGTTTTATTGTCATCTTCTTATATTTATACTAACATTTGTCAACCTCTCCTTATTCTTAGCTTTAGTAGAAATTTTTTTTATGTTAATAGACATTCCTCATAAAATTTCAGAAAAAAATTTAAAAAATCCACGATTCAACAATAAAAAACCGCAAACAAGTAAATTCCAAAAAAATAGTCTTTATTTGCTTAGTTATTGAGAATGTAAAAAATTATAGAGAGGAACGCTCGGTTATTTTTAAAATAATTTTTTAAATAAAGTTTTCCCTGTTTTATTGATTTTTAAAATTGTATTGAAAATTTAAAAATTTTATTTAAATTTTTTTTCATAAAAATATTTTTTATTTTACTCTATTTATCCCCAACAACTCTACATTTTTATTTTTTTTCTCAATATTTATTATTTTTTTCTTCTTTTTGCTCTATCCATTTTTTCTATAAGGGATTATTGATTCGTTTTTTATTTTAAGGGGCATAAAAGGTGATTGTTATGAAAAAATTTAACTTCCGTAAATGTGTTTAATCATTTTTTTAAATGTAAAAAAAATTTTTTATAAAAAATGATATTTTACATATTAAGTAAATTGAGTTGCGTGATTTTTAGGGTATTAAAAATTATTTTAAATTTATTTATTGGCTACCTAAAGTAAGGTGGTACTTTGTTCATATCCCGCCCCCCACCCCTATTTAGTCTCAGATTAATTTTCCTTTCTTGCTGTCAATCATTTATTTTTCCTCCTTTTTTAATGCCAATCATTTTCTTACCTCAAATATTATAAGTAAAAGGCAAGTTAAAATTTACGGGCTACAGTCCAAAAGAGCGCGCGGCCATAACGGCGCAAAGCCATAACTTGCTGTAATATTTTTGGCCATTGTCATTTCTGGTATAAATCTCTTTAGCTTGATGAGAGGAATCGTTTAATATTTATTTTGGTAAGGTTCGAAAATCTCGAATCAAGTTATGGCTTTGCGCCGATAGAGCCGCGCGCCCTTTTGGGTGTCCTATATGTGAGGGAAGAAAATGATTGGCATTAAAAAAGGAGGAAAAATAAATGATTGACAGCAATGAAGGAAAATTAGTCTGAGACTCAAATAGGGGTGGGGGGCGGGATATGAACAAAGTACCAGTAAGGTAAAACTCCATTCCATAAACCCTAACTTCGACGATTTTTGTGGCAAAACCGACCCTAACCCCGACTTGAAAAGTTACCCCTGTCCCTAAACTCCGACATGCCCTCCACAACAAATCACAAGTCCAGACCCCTAAAGATCATGGGAAACCTTTAACAAAAAAATTTTTTTGACCTCATTTCTTCAAAAAAAATTCAAAAATTTACAATTTTATTCAAGGCATTTTTAATATTACCATTAAAAATCAATCACCAAACCAACGACAAAATTGCCCGCATCAAGGCCACTTCATCCTTCCCCTATTCCCTTTTTTCTTCTCGACATCCCTCCAATTTATATTCATTTTTTCATCGGCAAATGGTTTCGAATAGTAGACATACAGTTTTAAATCTTTTTGTTGGAATATTTATTGGTTTTGTGCTTTCTTTTGCGATATTTCCAAATTTGGGGAATTTTCCTGGAGTTCAACTTCCTGGTTATCAAAGGCCTATTGTTATTGTTCAAGTAAGTCTGGAATTTTGGAAGAATAGAGTATTTAAGATAGTCTCTCGCGCTCTTTACCCCTAGGAGGAATGAGTGATAAAAGGCGGTATACCCAAATTTGTGGTACATACTAGTGATACTCGGGAGAAAAACCCGGGAAACGGGAGATTGGTCGGGAAATGACCTCGGGAGTCGGGGTACCCGAGCATCGCTAATACATACAGTAGCTGTGCCATTTCGTCATTCACCAAATTTTCCCCTTTTTTGTTGTTTCGTTTTTCGCTTTTTAAGAAGTTTTGGCCACATCCCTGATATATGCCAGCCATATTATACGAATCGAATATGACTTTAGTTGAGATGTCTGAGGTAGTCTCTCATCTTTCTCCCTTATCCGAAATGGGTACTGTAATTTGTTGAGTAATTATTGCTTATGAAAATTTATCTAAACGTTCCCCTAAATTTAAAGGAAGGTCCTAATCCACAACTTTCTGGAAGCCAGAAACAAGGCGATAATAAAATAGAAGTAAAAGAACATGCACATCGACACGATGCACATAATGAGGATGAACTGGACGATAGTGATGCCCCATCTGCTGCAATGTTTTTTCATGGGAATGGAACACATGTTCATGACGGTTTCTATTGCCTTTGATTTTTCCTGGCTTCCCCTAGTGGTCTAGAATTTTGGCTGCCCTAAGGCTCTTGGAACTCTATTACGAGAGCTCTCTAAAAAAGAAAAATTCTAGGTGAAGATACCCTTGCAGACGAGATATTCAAACATGTTAAAATTTATTGTTGGATATTAACTGGCCAACAATTTCATGAAAAACGTGCAATTCATGTTAAAGCAACTTGGGCTATAAGATGCAATAAATTTATCTTTATGTCTTCTGTTGATGATAAGGATTTGCCTGCTGTGAATTTGAATATTTCTGAAGGAAGGTTAAAATTTAAAAAAATTTTTTGTGATTATGGGGGATCCTAGACCTGTTGAGCGGAAAATTTTGGGATCAAATTTGGATTTTTTGGATTGCATTTTGTCTAAAAAAATTTTTGGATTTAAAAATAACTTCAAGATTAAAGTTTTATATTTTCATAATAAATTTAGAATCGAAAAAAGGAAAAGGACTAAAGAATTTTGAAGAAGAAATTCAGGTATCGGAGAATTTCTTAAAGTCTTGGGATTAAAAAAAGAATTATCGATTTTTATCGAGTTTGAAGCGAGATATGGTCAAAACAAAAGCTTAGAATATCTGCCAGATCTAGTAAAATTAAACATATTTAGTAAATATCATTTTATCGTCGTAAGTTAGTCCACTAAAAATGTCATAGGGTACCCCATAATTCCCATTTTATTAAAAATTTCAACAAAAATTATTTTTAGATCACATCTATGGGGAAAAACGAAAGCAGCCTTCAAATACGCCTATGATCACTACTTAGTTAGCTTTTCCCTTTAAAAATTTAATTTTTATCACATCCATTTATAGAACGATTACGACTGGTTCTTAAAGGCCGATGACGATACTTTTGTTATTTTAGAAAATTTGCGTTATTTATTAATGCCACATCCTCCAGAAGAGCCGGTCTATTATGGCTATAAATTTAAACCTTTTATTAAACAGGTTTTGAAAAATAATATATTATGTAAATTTAGAATTTTAAAGGGTTATATGAGTGGAGGTGCCGGTTATGTTTTGAGTAGACAAGCACTGAAACTTTTTGTTGAGAAAGGACTTCCAAATAAGACTGCTTGCAGAGTTTGTTAATTATATATTTAATTATGTAAAAGATTGGATAACGATTTAAAAGTTTACACAAAAATAAGGCTAATATTAAAATTTGTGTGCCCATTTTCCCTCTTCTCTCAGTTTATTCAGCAATCATGCAATAAATTAGGCTCAAATTCCGGAAAAAATCGTTAGCTTTCGATAACAATTGTTTTGCTTATGGACGTTGTTTTGGGGGTGGCAATAATCATAAAGATCATTGAAGCTTATCTTTCCTTGTACTTCGGCCGCTTCTTGTCCCATGAATGCTTAGACCCCCGAGTAGGGTTGTCAGTTTCACCAAATTCTTCGGTTAACGAACTGAGACCGAACCGGGTTTTCTGTTCGCCCCCTCCTTACCCTCAAGCAACCCTACCCTTAAATAATGGATTTTTATTTACCTTTTCAATACGATCTATAATTAATAAATCCATGGGCAAATTCTAGGGTATTTAGGAGTTCTGGGAAAATGTGGCACACAAACTTAGCTAAATTATTAGGGCTTTCATAAATGAAAAGCTTATAAAAAATTATTTTTTCTAGTCTGACGAAAATGGGGCTGAAGATGCAGAAATGGGCAAATGTCTGTCAGAAGTTGGCGTAAAAGCTGGGGATTCCCGAGATACAGAAGGCCATCACCGTTTTTTACCTTTTGTGCCTGAACATCATTTGGCACCTGGACATATTGATCCAGGCTTTTGGTTTTGGTCTTATACTTATTATCCTATAGAGCAAGTAAAGATAAATAATTGTTGATTATAAATAATTTTTCAATTTCTAAAGGGGCCAAATTGTTGCAGTGATTATGCCATTTCATTTCACTACGTTCATCCTGGTCTTATGTATGTTTATAAAATTAGTGTTATTATGAGGTTGTTTGTTCTTTTCGGACTTGGTAAGATATGGATTTCGGTATTCGTATCGGATATCCTCTTGGCATTTTAAAATTATCTTTATCCATATCAGTATCGATTACCAAGTTTGTTTTTTTTCGGATGGGTTAACACTAGGGTTGTCGGTCTGGAACCGAACCTCGAGATTTTTCGGTTCGATTCTTCTATTTGGTCTGTTAGTAAAGGAGGGTTTTTTTGCATCTAGGTCTTCCAAAATTTTTAAATTATCGCCTGCGGCGGAGAAAATGTAAGAAATTTAAGAGAGGTATCATTCATAACTCGTCGAGATGAAATTTGGTTTACTGCACATCACTAATTGGTTCGATCCCGGACATCCGAAGATTTCTCAAGAACCGACAACCCTAGTTAACACTATAATAAATTTTCCTAGTCAACTAGAAAGTTATCCATAGATAGTTTTTTCCATACATTTCCTTAATATGCACTAATAAAGAAGGCCAAAGATTATTTTTTTAAGTAAAACAAAAAAACATAAAAGGAAAATTTCCCCTTAGTAACTGCTGCCACTTATGGGCACAAATATTTACAATTTTTTGTCGGCATGATATTTTCGCAAAAAGATTATTTTTTGCGAATATTACTATAAATAGGCATTTTTCCACATCGCCGTTAAGTAAGTAGTAGGGGAAAGATGAGAAATAAAAAAATAAGGCAAAGGCTTTATTTGTGCCATAAGCAGTTTTTTTTAATTTTTTTAATTAAAAAATTATTTTTAATGGATTTTCCAAAAATAACAATCAGCAGCTTATTATTTTTGAAAAATCCATTAAAAATAATCCCTTATGTGAAACCCATTTACTAAAATCTGTAGATAATGCTAGGGGTATATTTATCATTTACTAAAAAATAACGATAATTTTTAAGACCGCCTAAGTCTTAAGGCCGCCTATCAAACCTGCCTATTCATTCTCAACAAAAATTAAATATTTTATAACTCCCCATGTAAAATTCCCTTTCAATTTTCCAGGTATGTGCTAGAATACATGATTTATCATTTGAGGCCATTTGGGCGTGAAACCCATTTACTTAAATCTTTAAAAGACGCTGAAAAATTGAAGAATGATCCCAAAGCTAGGTCAGAAGCAAATCGGCCACTTTTGAGGGTTGCGTATCAATTGGCTATTAAAAATATGGGAGCGGACGATACGTTCAAAAAGAGTGAATCCGATTTGTCAAAACTGCTTGGACGCCTTAAGCCTTAAAAAAGCCCAACTAACAGAAAAATTTTTAAAGAGAACTCCCATTTTAATACATTTTTGGTAACGCTTCGGCTTACGGCCCCTACCTTTTCTGGTTTCCTTGACCATTATGAGCTTTTTTGCTTAATATATAATTTATTATATGTATATCATACAAAAGCACTGTTCGAGCTGGGTCGACAAAATCAGGATCCTGAATCCTCGATGGAAAGCATTCAAGTCAAATTTTCGATAATTTTTGTGCCAATCGACTCAGCTCGAAGAGCTCTTTCGATTGATTATAAAATGAAAAATAGAGGGGTGGGGGACAGGGGGACCAAATTACAGTAGATTTTTACAACAGATTTTCTTTGTTTTAATGGGAGTTTTCAGCTTATTTTCACATACTTTTCAAGCTTCTATTTATTTTTCTTTATCTTTTCTATTCTTTCCTATACATTCCTTTAAATATCTCTCCCGGTTAAAACAATGGGGGATATTAAATAGTAGAGATTTTCTAGACGAGATTTTTCATTGAAAGTATTTTCCTAGTAATAAAAACCAATCTAAAATTTATTGCTGTTTCACCCTTTTCTTTCCCACAAAAAATATTTTTTACAACTGGTTATAATCTTTTAGTTACACGAATTCTAAACCACAAAAAAAAATTTTTTTTCTTATTTCTCTCACATCTTTCATTCTTTTCTCTTTCATATGCACATCGATTTACACAAAACAACTTGCCTCATTTTTATTTTTTCGCAATCTGTCATTGCTGGTTTTTTCCAAAAATTTTTTTTCGGGCGAGGACGTGGTCTCCTAAATGTTTGTCAAGCTATAGTATTTTTGTCAGTCCTCTCAAATTAGTTTTCTATTAGGAAAGGGCTGAGTCATTAAAATTAATATTTTTAGTTATGAAATGCCCAAAATTATTTTTAAAAACTAAAAATCACAGCCCGACAAACATTCAACAGACCTTTCATATTTTTATCACTTTTACTCCATTCCAATACGCACATATTTGTCAGCAATATTTATAATTACTATATTTTATAAGCTTTATATTTTTAAATTAAATGATTATTTTGTTCTATTTTCTTTGGATTTATAAATATTTTTCAAGGGATTTGTTTAAAAAATTTTTGGATTTTTTAACATTTTTTGAAACTACGCAAAAAAATTTGCAACATATGTATTTCTACAATAAAAGAAAATTAAAAAGGTAAAAAATTCTTTATCAAAAATTCAAAAATAATTTAGAAAAATCAAAATGTCAATATTGGAGATTACTGTAATCTAGGCTAATGGCAAAAATATATGTTTAAGAGGATCAGGCTTTGCATAGTTTTAAAGCAAGTTTTGTCTGATTTTTACGAATTAAAACTAAAAAAATGTTTTCTAATCTACTTTAAATTTAGGAGTAATTTTTAGAAAAATCAGACAAAATTAATGGAACAATATTTAACTTATAAAGCTAACTAATTTCGGAATTTATAAATTAATAATACTCAAAAAAGGTTCAAATAAAAATGTCGGGCATTTTGAATTTCGTGTGTTTACCCTTTTTATATGCCCCAAAATTCCTTCAAATGTCATAGGGTAAAGAACAAAATTCAAAATGCCCAAAATATCTCTCCGTTTAATAAACTTAATCTTTTACTTTTCCAGGTGCTTCTTTGCCGCTTCCTTCAATTTCTCGTGGGCAAAGCGTTTAAGTCCATCGGGCCATTGATTGCAATTTGGTTGCAAAAAATTTTCAATTATTGTGTCAATATTTGTTCCCTTCTTTATAAATTTGTTAATGTTGTTGGACAGGAATTGCTCGAATGCTGGAATTAAGGAATCAACTAAGGCACGAGCAGCATTTACTTGGGATTCACTGAAAAAATAAATAGTTAATAACGCTGAGTTTACTTTTGATATGGCTTCGTCATGGGGACAAATTGAGCCGACATAAGGAAAGAAGGTAAATCGAAATTAGACTAATACTTGCAAAATATATTTTAGACATAGTAGGAGCGACGACTGATTAAATACATATACAATTCAAATGACTCAAAACAAGCGTAATTCAAAGGGGCTTTGTTGGCCTGTTTTGCCTAAATCCTAACTTAATTTTTTCCATTTTTAAACTGGAAATTGTGCCTGTCTAGATTAAAAATCAGGTTTGTCAAGCTAAATTAGATTACTGACAAGTATTTTCGACTTATGGTGAGAATTATATGTATTTTTAAATTTATTCAGTCTAAAGATTCTTAAAAAATATAAGTTTTGGGAACGATGAATAAATAAAATTTTGTGAAAAAATCTTAAAAATCTATTTTGGTACTTATCCATTATCTTACAGTTATCTTGCTGAATTTATGTTTAGACAGGAAGAAAACGGGGAAATTTCTTTTGGGATTATAAGTGACTTTTGGTGCTTATTTTATAAATTTTAGAAGACTGGAAAGATAGGATAAGTACCATAATCTCAAATGCTACTCGTTTAACAATATAACAACATAAAAATATTACTCCGTATTGCCATCACTTTTTGAAGGGCTCGCCTTTGAACCTTCATTCCGCGCCTTAAACATTTTCGTCAAAGCATCTGCAAACGTTCCAAACGATTGGAAATCTCTAAATTGGGGAAATAATTTAAGTAAATAATTTTCTGTGATATTCAATAATATTTTCAGTATAAAAACGTACACTGGAGTGTCACTTGTTTTCCGAACAGCTCTGGGTGGTTCACTAAATTCGCTATAATCGTCCTCGTTTTCGGCATTTTTCTTGGCACCAAGGTTGGCACTAAAATAAAAATTGTTTAAAAAAGTTATTAGATTTTATTCATTTACGTGTTAGGAAGGCTCGGAGGTTTGAAAGTATCTGGCTCAACATCGTAAAGAATTTCCTGCTTTACGTTACGAATAAATGTGCTTGTCCCAGCTTGCTCTGTCGGTTTCATAGCAACTTCATCACGATCACTAAATATTAAATTTAAAGGTTTCTAATTTTTACTAGAATTTAACTCAAATTAACAGATTGGTAGATACTAAAAATGGAATTCTTGAGGCAAGATTTCATTTAATTTCACTTATTTAGTGAACCATAATTATTATTTTTAGTGGTATTTTTTTGGAGAATTCACTTTCTAGTACTTAACATGATTTGGTCGATGTACCTAAGCTAATTTCTAAAATATGCAGAAAATTGCTGGAGACTCGTAAATAATTCAGAGGGATTAACTTTACATTAAATAAATAATGTTACCAACCAACTAGCGCTCTTTGCTTTGAGTGTGCCATCATGCAACCGCTTCGGTGGTGTCTGTCGATCACTTGAACATCTAAATTTGATTAATAAATTATATTCCAACGATTTTATTTTTTTTACTATTTATTCTCTTCTATTTTTTTCTCATTTTATGGCAAATTATTTAAATTCGAAAGTTAGGCTCGAGCTTTTTTGCTCAAAAAATGAGCTTGCTCGCCCTTTTATATTTCAATTTTCAGGGGTCTGTATCTCGGCACAAATTTAAGACCGGAAGTTAATTTTGGTTTCATTCGACACAACTCGACGAGTTCTATAACCTATGATTGCGATTTTTTATACTTTTAGGAAGAAAAAAGGAGGAGGTATATGAACCGAACTATTACCAAGAGTTCTTATTGATTTTTTCTAAAGTCATTCACATTTGAATGTGCCACAGAGAAATATACGGAATTCAGGAAGAAATAAAGGCTGAACGTTCTTTACAAATTAAGTAAGGAAGAACTAGGGTGGAACGAACTTATTAAATTTATCAAAGAAATAAAGTAAATCTATTGGAGTCGGCGAGACTCTTGTGCAAAACCCCGTGCTTCGCGCGCATTGTACCAATTAAAAATTAATACACCGTAGCCAATGATATTTTAAAAAATTATTTATTTAAAAAAATTCGAATATACAAATGATAGCTCATTCGTTTGTATGAGAATTTAAACCAATACCTAGGCGAGGATTTTGAATTCCTATTTGCTTCAACCCAAATACCAACACCAGGATCACTCACAGTTTCATCGGGTTGCTTATTCTAAATGGACAAATATCAAATTAATTTAAGCCGGAAATAACCTGGAGTCTCATAATAGTCCCCCTTAATTCATCTTTTTCACGTGTCAATTTAACGCTCTTTTCCACATGATTTGCGACTATTTTTTCTAACATATTTATCGTTTTATCCCTTGATTTCACTTCCTCTTTTAGCTTAGCTTTTTCCTGCTCAGATTCATCTATGGCACGCTGACTTTCCTCCACCTTGATAAATAAATCACTCGCTCTATCTTCAACTTCCTTCTTCTCAGAATCCTTAGCCTCAAGTAACTCCTCCAATTCCTTCTTTTCATGTTCGATCAATCCAAGCCTGGCAACTTCATTGGTGAGGCTCAAATTTAAATTTATGTATCCACATATGGCCTCGTCTTTTTTGTCGTTTTCTTCTGAGACTTTGGTCAGCTCCTTCTGAATCTCTTCTTTTTCCTTCGTTAATAATTCCTTATCAAGCTTGTGTTTTTTGATCTCTTCATCATTAGCTAAAATTACTTCTTCCAATTCGTCATTTTTCTGTTTAAGATCTTCATTTTCCTTATTTGCTTTGTCTAATAATTTATTCTTCTCATCAATTTTTCCAGATTTTTTTATACTATCCTTGTAATGAATGCATGCATCTATATAACTCAAAACACATTTGCCATTGGAACATTTCAAAGATTTCTGTGCATCTTCCTTTGTCTGAATTTGAATGAATAAATTTTCATGTTTATTAAATTTAAAGAAAAATTTTCGCTTGCCTTAGCATCGAGTCCATTGAGGCGAGCAGCTATCTTCTTTGCCTCCTCATTTTGTTTGTTGTTTGAATTAATATTTTCTCCGGGGCTCATTGTTGTTTGCTTAAGGATGTTGTTTTTAATAAATTAATTATTATAGCAATGCTTCAAGGGCAAATGCTTGTTTTTTTATTTCAAAGTTATTAATGTAGTTCGTGGCGAATAAGCGGCTTATTCTATAAAGGGATTCTCTTATTAAATGCCCAAATTCTCAACTATAAGTCAGCTAGCTTAAGCCCGCACCAAAATACTCCCAAAAATTAAAAAAACAGATGAACCTTTATTTCCTTGAAAAATAGTAATGATCAAATTTCCTCCAAGCAGTGCTGAATTCCAAAAATAAAATTAAAAATTGAATGCAGGAATATTTCTGAAATTCTAAAAAATAATAATTTAAATAAAAAAACGCGCTAATTGCCTTTTACTATGAATGCAATGAAAATGTGTTTTAATACTATGCAAAAGAATTAATACACATTCTCTTATTTAATGCCTCCGCACAGGTGTGGAAATATGCCTCACGCCTTTCGACTTTATTATTAAACTCATTTTAGTACGATGACTTAGAATGAGTAATAATTATTAAAGCTCTCGAGCTAGATGGATGATACCAAAATCAGAAATTCTGAATAAAATGATGACTTTAAACTTGCTACTCTAATTAATTTATTTTTAATTTCCTTTTTTTCTTCTCTCATGATTACTTTTATTTGCTTTTAGCAAGTCATTAATCAAAGTGGATGATAAATTAAATGAAAAACTAAAAAAAATGTGCATTTGGAAAAATATTTTATAAAAAATATTTTCTTACACAACAAGAGCATAAATAAATTTATTTTTTCTGTTGTGCAAGAAAATAGCTCTATGAGAACTGGGCCTAACTACAGTTTCCGTACCAGGCTCAGAATTGGACGATTTATATGTCATTCGAAAGAGCTCGTCGAGCTGAGTCGAACGACACCAAAATTATTCAGCGGAAAAAATTCTGAGCCGAGTTACAGGCCCCCGAAAATCGAAAAACCATAAGGGGGACCAAGCTGATTTTTGGGGTGAAAAATTCGAATATGCAATTAATAGCTCATTTGAAAGAGCTCTTCAAGCCGAGTCGAATGACACCAAAATCGCCGTGATTGGTCAAGTTTGTTCAAAGTTATGACAGAAAAAACAAACAACGTAAACCTATGGGGCGTCGGCGAGGCGCTTGTGCAAAACTCCGCGCTTCGCGCGGAGTTTTGCGGCACGCGCCTCGCGGGGAGTCTACGGGCTCTGGGTCTGGGCTCGTAACTTAATCCTATGCCAATTATCGCTGTGATTGGCATGCCCAGCTTCCTCCGCAGCAGCAAGAACATCCACGGAGAACATAGGTAAGGAGCTAAAACAAACGAGCATAACTTTGTCAAATCAATTCTGATTTCATTGATTTTGGTGTCATTCGACTCAGCTCGATGAGCTCTTTCGAATGAGGTATAATTTGCATATTCGAATTTTTCACCCCCAGAAAACAGCTTGGTCCCCCCTATGGTTTTTTGAACTTTAGTGGTCTGTAACTCGGCTCAGAATTTTTTCCGCTGAAAAATTTTGGTGTCATTCGACTCAGCTCGACGAGCTCTTTCGAATGACATATAAATCGTTCAATTCTGAGCCTGGTACGGAAACTGTAGTTTAGCCGAGAACTGGCATTTACTAAAAAACTAAAAGCTAAAAAACTAAAAAAACTGCTTTCTATTTGTGTATGAAGGGAGGTGCCATTCAAAGACTAACATTACTACACAATATTAAATATTTATTACACAAAACTGCAAAAATAAGAAAACAAAAAAAAAATTGTGCAAAGAAAAATTGAAAAATAAAATAGGGAGCAAAATAAAAAAAAATTAAGGGGAGGAAAAAATATGATGCAATCCCTCTCATCCCCTTTCACCCCTCCAAAATGATTGATAACACTAATTCCCAAGACGCCTGATGAACAATTGTCCTAGAGAAGCGAGCGATAACTGAATTGGGTTCCTATCTATCTCGATTTATATATGATGTTTAGATGGGGGACGCCCACAGCCGCATCCAAAATTCCTCGCTTCCCTATTGGACAATTTTTACTTTAAGTGTTTGGCGTGTGGTGATTCAGGAATTTACGGAAATTAATGGCCAAGGCAAGGGTGATTGAAAATTAGATTACACTATAAAAAAGAGAAAAACAAGTCTACGCTTGGAAGGTAGTCAATTAAGGAAATGGAGAGAGGGTTACACAGAATGAAATTCGACAAAATGGTACTTTACAAAATGGCACGCAATAAAAGAATACTAGACTTAATTTAACAGAATGTTACTGACTGATATAAATTATGTAAGTGATTAAATTATTTAACTTTAAAAAATATCATGGTAGAAAATAGAATTTCGTACCTCCCTTTCCCCCTTTTTTTTTCATTTTCTTCCTTAAGAATATGCACAGTAGTCAGTTTTCTCCTTCCTCTGTTTTATTTCCCTGAGGATTTAAACAACAAACATTCATAAAGAGATGATTAATCTTATATGTAGTCATGCAATTCTTTTTCGCCTTCGGAAAACATTCTAATTAAAAAATAATTAAAAACATTGTTTTTGGTATACTATACCATTAGAAGAAAAATTACTATTATGCATATTCTTAAGGAAGAAAAAAGGGGGGAGGGCAAAACTTGGAATTACCCGGTGATTAATCGATAATCTCGATTTCGGTATTGAGTTTTGTTAAATATCGGGCTGTACAGTTCAATATTACCAATATCGGCTTTCTTTTTCTGGAATTTTTTTAAAAAATCAATCATTTTCAAAAATTAACGGTTCTAGGTTTTTAAAATTTCATAAAAACGGTTAATTTTTGGCAAGAAATATCAAAATTTTCTGTTTTAAAACTAGTCGCCAACAACTATAATTTTTACTTAATATATTTATATACATTTATTTTAATATTTTATTGAATTTTTAAATAAAAGAAAATGTTTAAAAAAATTTTTTATTAAAAAGGAATTCTAATCGGAGTCAGCAGGCAATTCCTAGACTGAGAGCAAAGATGACAGTTTTTGTATTCTTTTGAGAGTAAAGACCAGAAAAAAATTTTTTTATTTTTGTGAATAATAAAGAAAACGATATTTATAATCTAAAGGAAGACATCTGCATTAATAAAGAAAGGAAAAATTTACATAAAATGCCATTATGGTGGAAGGAGGTGCCTAATAAACAATTTTATTTAAAGAGATTTATAGAGGTTGACAGAGATTGACACGACTTTTTTACAAGATGTAATTTATGAATTTATTTTTAACCGAGATTTTATTATACTTTTCTTAGTATTTTTTATTATACTTACTGTAGTCACCCTAATTAAATACATAAAATCAGAAAAATAATAAAACTAGTTACGGAGGCATCATTTATTGGGACACGCCCAAAACAACGCGCGGCCATAAAAACGCAAAGCCATAACTTACTTCAAGATGTCCTAATCTTAACAAATTTAGTATTAAACGATTCCTCTCATCGAGCTAAAGAGTTTGGTACCAAAATTTAAAAGGACCGGAAATTTTCCGGCTAGTTATGGCTTTGCGTTGTTATGGCCGCGCGTTGTTTTGGGCTGTACTCTCATTTATTTTCTACTCTCATATCCCAACAAATTTTATTATTTCTTTTTATTACAACTTACTATTGTCGAAAAATCAAATAAAACTTACGATGATTTTTGATCTGTAATTTTGTCTATTGTTTGGAACAGAGTGTAGAAATGATTGAGGTTTTTAATAAGAACTGGAATTTATTTTTGGTAGTCTGTCATATTTAATTACCCATTTTTAGTGTGCATTTTTGAATAAAATGGAAAAATATAAAACAACTCTACTAAAACTAGATAATTACATAAAAATAGAAAAAAATTTTTTTTTACAATAAATTTAAAAAAGGAAACACTTTACTATAAAGTGAATGTTTGGGAGAACATAAAAAATGTTTGGTAGATAAAATCTTTTTTACATTAATTTATAAATATAGTATGTACTTATATGACAGCAGGCTGGAAAAAGTAAAATTTTATTTTGCTTGAATTATTAAAAATAGGATAACCCTGAGGATCACTTCCAAAGTATCGCCTTAATTATTTCTGAACCAGAGTATCGAAAACACACGAGCAACACTCAATTTCTTTTTAATTTTAGTATAAGGAGTTTGTTACAACAATAAAACAAGGCTCAATTCGTTCAAGTGATCAACCGGGAAAGATGATCAATCGCGAGCGTGATCAATCAAATGAGTCAACTTCTTCCATTTTTCTTTATAGATTACAAATTTCTATTAATAATCAAGCGATGTAAAATTGCCTATTCCTAATAATATTTGAAAAATAATCCTTTTGAGAAAAAAATATTATGACTTAACGACATAAACTTGCTGTATTATCAATGTTTATTTTAAGTAAAATGTAACATTGCTGAATGGCTTGACAAGTAGGAAGGCAAATAAAAATTCTTAAATATACAAAATTATGTAACAAAAAATAATGAAATTTAATATGTAAAAAGATTAACTAATACAAGTGTGTGAGCAAACAACTTGCGAATGGCACAAATTTGAATTTTTCATTAATTCCTATTTTTGTTCAGGCAATACTAATAAATGCTACATAAATGCTATCCTAAAAAAAGATAAATAAAAAGGTAGAATTCTTAAAATTATTTTATTTATTCGAAATTATAAAATTTTAACAAAAAACAAAATTGGTTATAATTATTAGAGGGCGGATTTTCATTGAAATAAAATTGCAAAATATAGCCATAAAATATTGAAATAAATTGTCGAAATACTGACAAAAACTGCTAAAAATTAGTGAAATATTGAAATAAATTGGAAAAAATATTTATTTCAGTAGAATGCCAAAACATTAAAAATTAATAAAAGAGAAATAGCAAAGTGAGTCAAAAATTGGATCAGTGCCTATCTCATGTAGGAACCAGGAAACTTGTAACGATCAGTTTAATAATATATCGTTACTAAACATTATACCAAATAATTTTTATTTTAGCACGCAAGCAATTTCATATTTTTTAAATTTTCAAAGTACATTTCTAATATATTATACGATCTAAGTTGTACTTTATAAACAGATTGAACTGTACTTTAAAAGTTGAGAAAAGTTAAATTCAATTTCGTGTCAACTTTAAAAAATTTAAATTTTGTCAATGGAAACACGGCTTTGATACATTTTTTATCATGCGTGCATATTTTGTTAACTATCTTTTTTCTGCCAAAGGTCACGCACTTTCTAAAGTTTAAAACAATTTAGAGGTTAAATAAAACGCTATTTAAATGTAATTATCGTTTCATTTTATTTATTTAGATGGTTATGCTTTAGCAGTGGATTTTTTTGAAATTATTAATATTATTTAGTTAGCAAATTATTATTACGTTGTTCATTATTTAATTTATTATTTGCATGTGTTAAGTTAATTAATCCAAGAGTTGTTTATTATTAAATTATTCAAATTTAATTAGTATTTGTAAATGGAACGTGGTCTTAATTAAATCAACCACGAATTTTTCTTTCATTTATGTCATTCAGTATTTATAAAAGGCACATTGCTAGCAAAAATTTATTTCTTCAACAGAACTTATAAGTAATTTAGGTGCTTACATAACTTATTGGACTGTCACGTGTTAAGTGCCAGTGACCCCACATTCATCGTAGTCCCGACTTAAGTAAGCCACTTTGGAGTATTTCTCCAATCATAATTGATCAGTTTAGACAGAATTTACCAAAAAATGTCAAATACAAACACAACACAACCACAAGAAATTACATTATATGACCAAATTTTACAGTTAATCGTCTCATTAAATAGCACATTCCTTTATATTTCGATAATTATAAATATAACTTCATTATTTACTTATATTTTGGAAATTATAACAATTTTGAAGCATAAAAAGTTCCATACTCCTTTCTATTGGCTTTTCATCATAAGAGCAATTACTGTAAGTCTTAATAAGGCTATTAGATGCCCCTCGTTTATAAAATGAAATATCATCCTATAATAAGGGGTTGTCGCTTAGGGAGCTCTTCTGATATCTCGATTTGAAATTGTACGGAAATTTCGTTTCGGATATAGGATCCGGATAATTGTGGATTTCCCTGGATCCGCTAACCTTACCTTACTTGCACTTATTGGTCCCAAATAAAAAAACCTCTTAAGGGTCGGAGTTTTCGAACCGGTACGACCCTATTTGCAAACGGGACGACCGGACGACCCTAATTTTTCAACCGGGACGACACTATATGTACTACCTAATCAAATTAAAAAATTTTTTCTGATCAGGATTTCTATTCATCTTTCGGTTCTTATGCCAATACGAGATTAATTGTGATTACTAGAGGTCTACCCTACAAACTTTATTTAACGTTTCCAAATTGGGTTTTTGCGTTCTTTTACTTTTTGGTTCTTCATGGATATGGAGCTAACAATTTAGCCACAATTTTTATGATGTTGACTCGTCTAACCGCTATTATGTTTTTAATGAAGCATGATAAAGTGAGGAAAAAGGCTTAAGTAGAGGCATAAAATAAATTTTATCTTAAACAGATTTGGAAAAAATTGTTACCATTATCAATAATTATTATTTTTGGGCTTCCTTTACTTGATTCTTATATTTTGTTTCTGGATACTTATGTTATTATTCCGTTACCAAATGAACAGAATATGACTTTATTTATAATTCCTCCAAAGGAGCATGATGTAAGACTTGTATTTTAATTATTTTATTCTAATGAATAGAGGGGTTCTTGGGGCCACTCCCCATATACTCTGAATGGAGGTGCCTAAGTCAGCCTAAGTGCCTAAAACTGATCAAGCAACATTGGATTGAAGGGATATCGATGGACTTGTGGGATTAAGTTGGATACTAGTTAATTCGGAGGGAGATTGCCAGGGATGGTTTGCTATTAATAAAGAGTTGTGCTTATAATACTATAAAGTACTCAAATTTCAGAAGCCAGGACCATACTTGTATATAAGCTTTTACTACTCAATTATTTTTCTGGTAGCTTGTGCTATCCTCAATTTTGCAATTCTGTTTATTTACAAAGTCGTCAAAAAGTCTGTTAATCAAAGGAGTGATGGAAGCACAGATAATCAAACCCGAATAGAACGAAATCTGTTAATTTACGCTTTGGGGACTTTGTTTGGGCATGCAATTATTGCTATAGTGACGGTAATTTTCTAATGGAAATCAGAGAAATTTTTATCATTCAAAAATTATTTTTAAAAGATATTTCTCTACGTTTGCCCAACAAGCCATTCAACGCCAGCACTTTTTTCGATGCTACCCGTAGTTACGGACATCGGAACTTCTGGATTGTCTTCATGGCTTCTTTTATTTGTCAGTGAAGATTTTAGGAATAAATTTATAAAAGATTGGAAACCTAAATATTTTTCTAGAAATTCTCCAAATAATTCGAGTAATATTATCTCCATTTCTAATAACCGCCATTTAAATGTACGTTCTGTCAACAATTTTGTTAGCTCCTTAAGTTAGATATTATTCGCTATTTTTAAAATTTTTACTATTAAAATTAAAATTTTTTATAGCAGGCAGAGATGGGTCGGAATTACGATTTCTCGCGATTTTTCCTTCCGATTTTCGATTTCCGAAAAAAAGTTGGATTTCCGAGTTCCGACTTTTGAGCCAGTTCCGATTTCTGGCTCTTCCTATTTCCGACACCTCTGACTGTTCCGATCCACCTCTGATAGCAGGGATGTCTCGACTGATCCGATATCCTAAATCCTGACTCTCTTCCAATCCGAAAATATTGAAAAGCTGATCCGATATATTAACTTAACCCGTGTCATCTCATCCCTGCTGGTTATTCATATTTGTTTATTTAGTGAATATTTTTTGGCAAAATAAAACAGATACTGTAATCTCTCATTCTACTTTATCTTAATGTAAATAAAATATTTCCCTTCGATTAAATAAGACAACAGATGTTCCTTAAAACTAAAAACATTCTGGGATAAACAATTGCTTATTTCTGCTAATATAATATTGATTTTGGATCTTCCAATTTATTTTTTTTGACAAAATATTTTATAAAATTATTTGATGAATTTTGGATTAGCAGAATATATTCCAAAAGATTGCCCACTTTGTGGAATTCCTGTACAGCTGGCTGACAGATTAACTGTTGATAGAGAGACAAGTAAATTATTTAATTATCACGTAAAATCTGAGGATTTATTATGGATATAGAGCTTTTAAGCTTTAAGCTTCAGAGCTGTGCGCCATTATGTTCTGACGTGACGTTTTGACGTTATTTTTGCCCGAATTTGGCGTGTTAAAAAATTTTTTTAAAAGCATACAGCTCTTTTAGGATAAACAGGTCCTAAGGGGTACCCCAAGGTACCGCAGAGCTATAACTTCGTTCAAAATGTCGAATCCGAGGCTCTCTTGTACGGTTCGATTCAGCTCGTCAAGGCGCATCGAACCATACTAGGGCGTCCCGGATTCGACTATTCAGAACAAAGTTATAGCTCTGCGGTACCTTGTGCTTGCGGTACCCTGGCCTGTTCCCGGTCCTAAGATTGAAGACATAGGAACACACGAAATTAACAAAAATTATCTAGCCTATTTCTTAACTAAAAATCATTTTAATATTTATTTAGTCCACAAAGCATGCTTTAAATGTTGTTTCTGCGCTTGTAATCTCGAACAGGGAGCTGCAGCAATGGAACGATCCTTTTACGAACGTTATGGGCCTCGTTGGTATTGTAGAGGAACCGCAGGGAAATGCTCACTCCTTCCAAATTCTAAAAAGGAAGAAAAACTGAAAGAGAAAGGGTTGGCTGAACGGAAAATTAAAAAATAAAAAAAAATTTTTTTATAAAAATTTTAGCTTATTTTTAAATTAAATATTAAAAATTCCTTAATAAAATTTTAATTAATTTTTTATTCTCCTCTTTGTTTGCCCTCGAATTCTTTTTAATTTTTGTTTATTAAAATCTGCAGAATTTAGAGGCCCTAATTGCTTCCAAGTACTGTTGAAGGTTTTTAATTTGTTCCTTTTTATTAATCTTCCAATTTTTGTTCCATTTGTAAAGGTAAATATTTTTGCAGGCAAAATTGTTGCATAGAAAGGAGTGCCGAATAATCTAGTTCTGCGGACAGATTTATTGAAAGGGCAGGAAGTAGCCTTAAATTATTAATTTAGATTGTGTTATTAATAGGGGTTATTTTTGTTATAATCCTTCTATGACCAAAATCGAGGTTAAGGTACCGGTTCCAATAACTCCTGGAACTGTCCAAGGATAGAAGCCGACGGGATCTGAACCGAGTTATTAAATTTTGTTATAACAGGATCTGTGTCTTACTGATTCCAGGACTTGGGTTAAGGAAGCTGGGTCCAAGAATCTTGAACTCGTCCAAGACCCTTTGAGGTTTTAATAACTCGTCCATGAACTCGTAGAAGCCTGCCATGAACCTTTTCCGAATGACTTTAAAATGCTTTGGAGCAGAGAAATGGTGAGGTCTCTCATGGTGAGGTTAAAATAAGCTTAAAAATATTTTCAAACTATACTTCATAATATAAATTATCCAAAATAAAAATAGAAGGCTTCTTAAAATTGCTAGCAATTATTTCTATAGAAAAATGTTTATCTTCACTATCCAAAGTTGTTGGATTTACTACTACATTTACAGCAACGGAGGAGCTTGATTCATATTTAATTTCCTTAAATAAACTTTAAAAATTGAATAAAAATACTAGAACATACAGAAGTACATTCACGTTTATTTAATATTCTTGTACAGACTTTAAGAAATATTTCAGGATCAGTTGTCCAATAACTTTAAATTTAATTTTAAAATAATCATCTATTAGAGAAATTTTTTACTTAAAATTAATTTGCCCGTCCTCTTTTTGGCAAAATATTTCCAGTTTTAGTATAGCAGAGTAATTTACATTATCCCCACCTGGATTAATTACAACTAGGAATTTATCTGAAATTTATTTGTCTAGATATAAGTAGATTATGAGATCGACATCTCGAAATGATATCGATTCTCGATAACCGAGATTTTTAATCTAGATTTGTTTCGGTCCTATCTCTAATTATGAGTATTCTGAAAAACAGGGCTCAAGGAGTGCTACTCCTTAAAATTTGTGTTCGAGTCTTCAAATACCCATAGAGATCGAATCCGAGTACTCATACTCGTTGGGACTTCTTAATCAAATTTATGGGCGGATGTTTTCTAATAATGAGGTCAAAATGTAGTGTACACTTAAGTTGGCAGTCCTCTCACCCAATGACAAACCAACTACTATGTATTTAAGGTCTACTTTTCTAAAGAGCTCGCTTTAGAGGGTATTCATTTTAATTTAGAATTTTACCAATTGGAAGGTCTATGAATTCTTTATTTCTCCCAATAATATCATTAATTATTCTTCTTGAGCACCTTTCATTATTTAATTTATTAAATTGTCCCAAATTAAATTGTAGATTGCCTTCCTCAGAAGAATAAAAGCTTAAAAAATTCCTCTAATAAATAATTTTAAATTTAAAAACCTGCATTCCTCATTATCAAAACTACAATTTTGTTGAGGATTAATTTCTTCACGCGTAATAAAATTGTTGGAAAGGGAGATTCCATCGAATGGTTTTAAGGAAATCTATGAAAATTAGCTAAGGTGATTCACCCTCGTGAAGGAGAATGATCCCCTTATGGATTAATTTTATCGAGTGACCGGGAAAACTATGAGTCACATTCACCGCTTCATCGTCCCTGCCTAGCTAAAAACATGAAAATGACGGAGGAAACTTGAAACTTGTCTTTCTCTAGTATTGTTCATTTTCTCCTGTGATGGCTCAAAATGCTCTCATCTTTCTCCATTTGAGCGCCACAGGCAAAGATTAACCGGTCATGAATACCCTAATAGAAACAGACATGATACAGTTCCTAGCTTTAACTCATGCTAATTATCCTAGTAAAATATTTTTAAAAATTCTCCTTGCCTTCATACAGTCCAGCAATTGTTTATATGTTTTTAAATGATTTAATGTCGTGTTCCTTCCTTTGTCTGTCATTTTTATTTTTTTCCGAAAATTGTTGAAGTCTTTAAAAATTTTTCTTAATTTATTTTTAATGAAATCTACCTATTGGCAAAATCCTAATTGTAGGACGAGCATTTTTGATTAAAGGGATTAATAATTCATCTTTTTCGTTTTCATTAAATTCTAATTTAAGTGACTCATTTTTATGAGAATCATTGTTTATTAAGATTATATTGTCTTGGTCATTATCTTCAATTATCTAAATTAGATTTTTAATCGTTTTAATTTTAATATTTTCTGCTTAAAAAGGGGTGTTTAGAGAGTACTTAGGGGCACATATCTAGAATCATACGGTATGAGTGATTGGTGAAACATGAGAGAGATGTATGTGAGAGTCTCTCATATCTTGTATGAGAGACTTATGACTACAAGAATAGAGGCTCATTCACTCCCTTTGAGTTAAGTGATATGAACACTAGAAACCGAACCGAGACGAGATCTCGATCGAAAATCTCGGTTATCGAGATAGAGAGAGATTTATCGGTATTCCCTAAGCTTTCCAATTTTTTAAAGTGCCAGGGAACGAGATGTAGTTAATATTCCTCACTCACACTAATTGTAAGACATAGATAACCCTAAGCAGAACTTATTTCCTAACCGGGCTTCATTACAATTATTCCATTACCTGAAAGCTTTTTAGATCATTTTTCTTATCTTCAAATAATTGTTGATTAGCCGAAGTAATACCATTTACAAATTTATTTGTAGGGTGAGGTATATAGTAATTATAATTTCTTGAATTCATAAATGATGGAGGGGTACATAAATTAACTTTTTGAATTAAAAATAATATTAAAATATTTTTTGAAATTGAATCCATTTAAAGATATTTTTGTACTAAAATTTTGAAAAAAAAGATTTAACTTTCTTATGAAATTTTTAGACTTTATGAATATTTCCGCAGCTTTCTCATCATTTTCCGTACATATTTCCTCCGTTTTCACTTTTTTTGCTTTACAAGAAGGGAATTTAATATTTTTCCCTCAATTTACACCTTTTTTAAATATATTTGCATTGCTCTTCCTCTGCCTTTAAACGTTACAAATTTTACAAATCTTCCAAAAGAGAAGATTAAAAGCATGGAAGCGTATATAAAGGCAAACACAAAAATAGTAAATATATTTAAAATTACTGGACTGTATCGAATTAATTTTTATCAAATTTTACTTTTAAAAACACTATTAAATTAAAACCAAATTGTTGAACTCAAACCTATTAGATATGGTATTCTGATTTATTAAATCTATCATGTTTTAATATAAAGAAAAATGTTATCATTAAAAAGAAAGGATAAATGAAGAAATAATTTTATTTTTATCACATTATTTAAAAGGATAGTGAATTTTTTATATACATATTTTCCCTATTTAAATTAGGAGTTAGTAAGAAAATTAATGAGGTATAATACAAGAAAACCTTAAAAACCCTGTAGATTATAAAAGGTAAAGGTAAGTGTCGTATCTCGATTTTTCATACACCCTAAATTGTAGAGATGTCCAATACCAGAAATTTTCCGAGACTCGAGACCAGAACTACACCCCAAGACCAAGACCGAAAATAACCCAAGAAAAGTCAAGACTCAATACCAAGAGTCTTGGACATCTTTATTAAATTGCATACACTCCCTCTCTCGCTTCTACCTTTACTACTCACATTTTCCTTCTCAAGGGTGTATGCAATCTTCAGATCCGTCTATTTAATGTCAAGGATCAGTCTCTGATCTCTAACAAAAATTTTTTAAATTACCCAAATAATTTAGACATTTAAATCTTATCTCCCTTTTATCATCCCTTGTTGGTCTGCTTATTCTTCTTTATACGTTGTGATCTTTGTAGTTTTTTGCGCGGATTACGTTGTCTTCTTCCATTTCGAGTACCTTGTATTTTTATTTTTTTTAAGTTTAAATTTTTAAGTTTTACGTTGTGATCTCTGAAGTTTTTTGTTCGGATTACTCTGTCTTCTTCCTTTTCGAGTACGTCGCCGATTCGAATTCTTTTTATGTTTCAATTTTTTGTGTTTCTTATTATTGTTGTTTCCTTTAAATTTTGTTTCTGGATAACGTAAATTACGGCAGATTGCAGGCAAATCTCGTCTTCTTTTGAAGTATGCGGCAACATGTTCAATATGTTGTTTGTTTCGTAATTTTGGATTTTTTCTAAAAAATTCGCTTTCCTTCGGTGTTTTCCTTCTCTATAATATTAATTGATAAAATTTAAAAATTACTTTGAAATTTTCAAATAAAATTTTCATTAAAATTAAAAAATTTTTTGAGTACACAATTGTTTTAAATTATAAATTGAAAACTTGAATTTTTGTCAAATTTAGTGTTGGACAGTATATTATTTTATTTTTGCCCCAAATATTTTTAAATCGAACCTCTTTGATTTTTTTTAATTAATTGAATGCAACATTTGCGTTCATTTCGATTCCTTATCTTCTTAATTTTATTTAGTTCACAATATGCTACCATATTAAATTTCACATTATCTTAAAGAATTTAAATTTTTGTTTAAAATTTTATTCCTATTACAAGGATAGCCCAAGTTGTCTTAAATTTTGAGAGATTTGGTAATAAAATGAGCAACCCCTCTACTACACTCAACTTTCGTTATAAATTTTTAAGGACTCTCGTTTATATTCTATAATAAAAGTTGACTAAAATTGGGACTATCGCTCTGGCAACTCGCAGATCTGGGGTCACTACACCCGTTCTATTTGGTGTGTTCTATCTATTTATAGTAGCTGTCTCATTTCGAAATGAGATTTTTTATATAATTAATTATTAATCATAAATACATATTTGTGTAATTTCCCACCCGTGTAAAGAAAGCGGATTGTTTCCAGCTTTCTTTGGTTTTTACAATTTCATTCTAATAAAATTCTTCTAAATAAAAGTTACTTCGCAATAAAATATATTTTATACGCTTTCCTGTGAAATAAAATTATTTTGTAATTGTTTAAAAATTGATTGAAGAAAATTGAGAGTAATTAATAGGAAATTAAGTGTTAGGAAATAAATTTGAGTTAAAATTTTACTTTAAACTGTTTATTTTGGAAAAGCTCAGCCGGTGAGAATGTCGGCACCCTTTCGTAACCAAATCCGGCTTCTCGTTCAAGAAGCGGAGGAATTATTGGAAGACCCCAAGTCCTTTGTTCTCCCAGTGCAGACTGGAAGTATATCCCAATTTCACGCACAAATACGCTCCCTTATTACTTCCCTTGACTCAGAATCCCAAATCGTGACTGAATTATTTGACAACATTACTAATGAAAATGATAGATGGATGGCCACTAGAACGTCTATGACTGGAGCTGAAAGACTGGCGGACAACCCAATTTATGATGAATTTGTCACAGTCGTGCCTTATCCGACCACATTACGTAAATTAATGAAATATAATCGTAGGCTCCTTTCTGAAAGAGGGGCATTGTCCGCAGCACTACCCGACCCCTCACAGACCACCGACACTCTTTTCCACCTCCCAAAACTGTCCCTTCCTAAATTTAGCGGTAAATGCGTGGAGTTCACCTCTTTTTGGAATGCCTTCCGCGTCGGAGTCCACGACCTCACCAACATTTCCGACTCCGTAAAATTTAATTATTTGAAGGAATGCTTGGAAGGGCCCCCTCTTCTACTAGTAAAGTCACTCCCCCTCACAGAAGCTTCTTACCATGAAGCAATTCGCCTAATACATGAAAACTTTGGAAATGTAGACGAAATTAACCGTACTCTCCACCACGCAATCCGAAAATTACCCGTCGTTCACTCTGTGAACGGTCCCGAAATTTTATGTACTGAATTACGAGCTTTCGTCGACCAATTCGAAGCGCTTTATTTACAAATGCTTGAACAACACTTTGATGTAAACACTCTGCCCATTCAAATGGAACTCGAATCGAAATTGCCCCCTCAAATACTTGAAGAAGTGTTCAGAGACAAAGAAACTCATGGACAAGACTGGAACACGGACCAACTTCGCAACACTTTGAAGTCAATATTAAAAAGAAAAGAAGGTGTAAAAGCCCTTAGAGACCAGAAGAAGGAACTCAATACCCCGGACAGGCCCTCTAATTCTCCCAAACAGTTCAGGCAAGTTGGAAATTTTCGTTCCCCAAATATGCCTCAATCCTCTCTGACATTTTCTACCTCTAGGCCGAATAACAGACCAGGGATGTATAAATTCCCCTGTGTTTTTTGTAATCATCCTAATCACCTCTCCCACCTCTGTTCGAATTATAATACCCTTCAAACACGAAAATCCCGACTGCGAGAAAAGAAACTATGTTTTAATTGTTATAAGCCTGACCATCTCGCTAGATCCTGTCAAAACCCAATTACGTGCACTAATTGTCGAAATCTCCATCCCCGTGCACTTTGTCCAAACCTATTCAATCCCCAACAACAAAGAGCTCGAAATTTTGAAAATTACCATTATGGTGCAGGCAGCTCTTCACAAAACGAATTTCAACATCAACACATGACTAATTACACCCAACCTATTAGATTTGAAAATATCCACAGAAGAACTATTCCCCCGTTATCCTCGGTTGTCCCCCCAGCCAATTTATACAACAATTATTATCCACAAACAACAAAATCAGACACGCAACAATCGAAGGAAATTCAAACCGAAAGAAATGATCCACAACAACCACAAACGAATGCCTCCTCACTCTCCGCTCAAAGGCACCCTCAAGAATTGCCAATCCTACTGAAGTGCATTAAAGTAAAATTTTTTAATCCTAATTTCCCCTCCCATGCTCGTATTGGCTTTCTGTTATTGGACGATGCCAGTACACATTCATATATTCAAACATCCGAAGCAATAAATCTTGGATTGAAATTAGAACCGAAAACAGTAAATTTAGGAGTTTTCAGTGATCCGAATAGTAAACCCACCCAAACCTATTCTACCGAATTTGGCCTCTCACTCTCCGACGGACGTTCCCTAATTATTCGAGCATGTACTATAAATTACCTGACCCAACCTACGAAATACATACCACCAAACAATAGTTCAATAATCGGCCTCCCAGAATTAATTCCACCAGCCGAAGTAATTTACCCAGTTATTTTACTAGGAAGTGATTATTATTATGATTTAGAGCCTACCCCAATAAAACGTCTACCCTCAGGCTACACCCTAGTAAGCACTCTTTTAGGTCCAATTGTGGCTGGAAAGCCGTATTTATGTTCAAACAAATTATTAAATAGTTCCATCAATTTCTGCTCACAACACGAAGAAAAAATAATAGAATTTTTGACTTTGGAAGGAATTGGAATAAAAGAAGATCCTGGAGAAATTTCAGAAGATAAAGTGTCGGCCCAATTTTTGAAAGACATTAAATTTGTAGACGGGCGCTATGAGATAAAATTCCCGTTCAAATCCGACCCAGCCCATTTGCCAATACCCACTAATTATTCTTTATGTTACGGACGCTTGCGTTCTGTTTTAAATTCCTTGAAAAATGATAAAACTCTCATTGCCAAATACCAAGATATACTCACCGAACAACTCCAATTGGGAATAATAGAAAAGGTCCCAACCCCCAGTAAAAATTGTGTACCACTCCATTACCTTCCCCACCACCCTGTAATACGGCAAGATAAGAAAACCGTTCGAATAGTGTACGACGGTTCAGCTAAATTGGGAAAAAACCTGTCACTTAATGAATGCTTGTTTTCCGGCCCTAACCTTTTAAATGACCTTGTTGGTCTTTTATTTAAATTTCGACTCCCCAAATATATTATTACCGCCGATATTCAAAAGGCTTTTCTCCAAATTAGTATAAATCCCTCCGATCGCGATGTAACGCGATTTTTGTGGTTAAAAGATATTTCAATTCCCTTCTCCTCGTCCAACATTGAAATTTACCGATTTGCCCGTGTACCTTTTGGACTGATTTGTTCCCCATATCTCCTCGCAGCAACAATCCGACATCACCTTTCAAAAAACAAATCAACACTCTCGAAAGAATTGGAAGAAAACATTTATGTAGACAACTTACTTCTTACAGCCTCTTCAATTTCAGAAGGAAAACAAAATTGTCTTGAGGCAACAAAACTCTTCGCCACAGCAAATATGAAACTTCGAGAATTTGTAAGTAACAGCAAGGAAATTATAGAAGATATTCCAGAAGATGACCGACTCCCAGGTGAAAAAATTAAATTTCTTGGCATCAAATACTGCCCCATAAAAGACGAATTCAAACTTGCATTACCAAATCCCCCCGAAAATTCTAATCCTAAGAAATGTGACATTCTCTCATTTGTCGCATCCGTTTATGATCCATGTGGTCTTTTGTCCCCCATCCTACTACCATTAAAATTATTCTTCCAATCTTTATGGCTAAATGATCTAAAATGGACCGAACCCGTACCCGAAGAAAAATTAGTGAATGGACGAAATTATTTTCTGAATGGAAAGAATTAAATTTCTCAATACCAAGATGTATATGTCCTGACCCCTTAAAAGTGAAGCAAATTGAATTACATGCCTTTAGTGATGCTTCATCCCTAGCTATGTGCGCTGCGGTCTATTTACGTGTCCACCTTCCCCAATCAATCCATTCAACTCTTTTATTTAGCAAAACTAAGCTTAAACCTATTACAAAGAAAGGCCAAAAATTCACCATACCCAAAATGGAACTTGTAGCAGCCCTTATTGGAGTAAGAGCTCTTCTTTATGTAAAATCACAACTCCCCCCTTCCCATGTGGATGATAATCTGACCCTCTGGGTAGATTCATCCGTAGTTATTGGTTGGCTAAATTCCCGATTGCCCATTAAAGAAATATTTATTTACAATAGAATTAAACCCATAAGAGCCACTCCAAATTTAAAAGTCCGGCACATAGCGGGAAGTCAAAACCCCTCGGACCTGGGCACACGCGGAGTTACAAAACCAAGTGATTTATTTGAAAATGATGTGTGGCTATATGGACCATCCTGGTTGTCGTGTGCAACAAATTCCTGGCCAAAAGAAAATGCCGAAATTCCAACATTCTCATCAAATGTTTACAAACCAAATATAGAAACGACAGAAACACAACCTATAATGACATTTAATACCACGCAAACATTGACGAGTATAATGGAAATTAACAAATTCTCTCGATTGCCAAAACTACTCCGTGTCACGGCGTATGTTTTAAGATTTATTGCTTATAATCCCCATCCATCAATTTCCCCTTATTTGAAAAAACATCCAAGACTTACAACATTGAACGTACATGTCCGAGAGCTTCGCTCGGCTTTAAAGTTCCTTATTAAACAAGAACAAACGTATAACCCCCCATCCGATCATGATAAGAATTTATTAGGCCTCTTTAAAGATGAAAATAATTTAATTAGAGCCAATGGCCGTTTAGGAAATAGTAACCTCCCTCAAAATACAATTATGCCATTATTACTCCCAGCCAACTCTCACCTCACAAAACTATTAATTTACGAGACCCACATCTTAAATCAGCATGCCAGCCCACTCACCGTACTCTCGATGTTAAGAAGAGAGTTTTGGATAATTAAAGGTAGAAAAGTTGTCCATTCCGTTATTTACAATTGTTGTCTTCCTTGCAGAAGATTTAAAGCAATACCATTTGATAAGCCTCCATTCCCACAATTTCCGGAAAAAAGAGTCACACCCTCAAGACCATTTTCTGCAATTGGTCTCGATTTTGCAGGACCATTGAAATTAAGGACGGAAAACGATCCCCTCCAGAAATTTTACATAATACTATTTGTATGCCTATCTACACGTGCCATCTCATTAGATATAGTCCCGAACCAATCCGCTTACCAATTTAATTTGGCCTATCGTAGATTTGTTGCTAGATTTGGCCAACCCGAAATTATTTACTCCGACAGCGCCCCAACCTTTATTTCATTTAAGCGCTCACTCAAACCCTATTCCCCGTCCTGGATTTTTAGAATCCCACATGCTGCTTGGAGAGGCGGACATTATGAACGATTTGTAGCCTCTATAAAGTTCCATCTAAGACGTACATTATCCCAAGGAATTTGGGCTAAGATTTTTCCAATTGATGAGGCGAGAACAATAATTAATGAAATTGAAACTATAATTAATAGCCGACCTATTTCCTTTGACTCATCCAACCCACAAGAAATACGACCTATACGGCCTATTGATTTTATAAAACCACTCGGCCAACCAAATCTCCCCTTTTCTTTAAATGAACATACACCATTCAAAATACAAAGCACATCAGAGGATATTCAAAATTTGTGGACAACACTCAAAACTCGGCGAGAATTATTCTGGAAAAGATGGAATACAGACTACCTAATGTCACTTAGAGAACAACATAAAACCCTAACCCCCAAATCACAAAGAAATCCAATACTAGGAGAATTGGTTATTATATTCGATGAAAATCTCCCAGTTTCCCATTGGCGCACAGCAGTTATTTCAAAATTAATAAATAATAAGGACAATATCCCCGACGTGGCCGAAGTCCGTTTCCCATCCGGTCGTGTTGTAAAACGCTCAGTAAACCATCTCCTTCCATTAGAGACTTCCCACGAATTAAAACAGAGGTTAAATCCAGAAGAACCACAATCTATGGAAAAGGAGAAAGAAGAAGAGCTAAAAGAAGATAAAAATCGTGAGAAAGTAAACAATTATATGTTCAATCCAGAAATAGAGCCTAATCATCCGCCTGATCATATTATTGAAGGCGAAGATGAAACATTAAAACAATAACAGTTTGTTTAAACTTTCCTTCCCACCAGTCACAATTTCTAATTTTTAAATAATCAACTTCACATTTTTGTGGTGGGAGGGTCTGCGAAGAATCTCATAAACATTAACTCCCCCTTTTCATTTCCTTTTAAGCTTGTAAAAATCCTTTATCTTCGTTTTATTTTAATAAAATTTATTTAGTAAATGGGAAGTATAATCTCCCTTGAAGTTTTCTCTTTTAATTTACAATTAATTCAACAAACTCAACCTTCCGAGTGGAACAAAACAACCTACTTATTATTAATAATTCTTATTGTCGCCTTTGCTATAATAGGCGGTTTAATTATTTATATTGGAATTAGGAGGAAGCAAAAACCCCGTAAAATTTGGACAGCACCCCCAACGTTCTTGGTCATCTTAGCAATTATCTTTATCCTCTCTCCTTTAGAAGCAATCCCGGCACGAAACTTTAAGCCATACAAATCTTCATTTAAGCCCTATAAATCTTCAATTGCCAAACGTATAGGAAAGCCCTTAGCAAAATCCACTCTTCCTATAATTGCCTCGGCCGCACTTTATTTTGGCTTTGAAACATTAGCCCAAACTATTCTAGATAATCCCGAATATTCTCTTGCTATCCTTTCCGTTGTAGGCTGCTTTTTCATAATCTTGCTCCTACTGTTGGCTAAATTAGCCGCTTATTTATATTATTACATTCATCCCCGTACATCCCCACCCCAAACAATAGAATTACAAGAAATAAATCACAATATTAACGAAATTATTAACCGCACCGATCCAAGACGTGTTTAATTAAATTAATTTAAATTAAGCTAATTTAACTATTATTTTAGATTATGTCTTCAAAATTACGTCGAAATATTAAAGAAGTAAAATGCTTAAATGCCCAAGTACAAAGACACCTTCCCAATTCCAACAACAATATTCCAGCCTCCCATAAATTACTCAAGAAACCCACTGTTCCGAAGCCATTGGCTGAGGATCTTAATAAAATTTCAGTTAGTGCTGGTGATGCTACGATTGAGCCTTCTGGTCCGCCTACAGCAGCAGTGCCACCTTCTTGCCCCGCTCATGTTCCAACACCTGCTATCGACGATAAACAACAACAACCACCAGCAATAGCCGTGAAGGATATCCCACTTCCTGCCGCACCACCAAAAGAACATGGTCTGCCAATGGAACAACCCAAAACAATTCCTATCTGCTCACGTGTCCGCATCGATTCTACAGGCTCAATGGAATGGCTCCCTACCCACGAACAAAGCTACCGAAAGAACCTTATAAGGAAATGGGCCCGATCAAACAAGAAGAGTAGCCGGCCAGCTGATAAAGAAAAACCAACTATTACAAAACCGATCCCTTTAAAAGACATAAAAATTAATTCAAATCATAATCATCCCTCATTTCATGTACAATCGACTTCTAATGTCATCTATCTTCCTCCGCCGCCTCCTCCTCCACCTATTCCAATTGTTACTCAGAACCCTCTCCTTTTAATTGTAATTCCGTCTACTCAAATTCAAGCTCTTACGCTCCGCTTCAATAATTGGGCGGAGTGTCTCATTTCGAAATGAGATTTTTTATATAATTAATTATTAATCATAAATACATATTTGTGTAATTTCCCACCCGTGTAAAGAAAGCGGATTGTTTCCAGCTTTCTTTGGTTTTTACAATTTCATTCTAATAAAATTCTCAACTTCAATAAAATAAAATAAATTGTTCGCTCTTCAATAAAATAAATATTCTTTGTGAAAGAAATTGATTTTAATAGGAAAAGAAATTTCTAGGAAATTAAGTTAAGAAAAGAAAATTTGAGTTAAAAATTTACTTTAAACTGTTTATTTTGGAAATAAGGAAATATAAGGAAATGGGTTCATTATTCATTGTTCATTCATTATTCATTGTTCTTTCCCAGTTTTAAAGCTTTACACAATTTCATTCTAATAAAATTCTTCTAAATAAAATCTACTTCGCAATAAAATATATTTTATACGCTTTCCTGTGAAATAAAATTGTTTGTGATTGTTTAAAATTGATTGAAGAAAATTGAGAGTAATTAATAGGAAATTAAGTGTTAGAAAATAACTTTGAGTTAAAAATTTACTTAAATTGTTTATTTTGGAAAAATTTACTTAAATTGTTTATTTTGGAAAATTTCAACTGTAGCTCTGTTGGTAAGTGTTTGAAAACCCCGAAGGGTGCTTGGATGCTTTTATTTAAGTAAATAATTAATTTTTAAAATTAATATTGTGTAAATACTGTATATGTCAAAATAGATATCATGGCTAATTATTGCTTCAACCTCTCGCTGAATGGACTAATTAATCGAGAGGGGGCAATTATTTGAAAGAGGGTATTATCAAACTTACAATTAAGAATTCCATTGTTCTTTTTGATTCTAGCGTTATCAGATTTGGGTATAATCCAAATAAAAAGAATAAATAAAATAAAAATTGAAGATAAATTCATATGTAATTATTTAATTTTTAAAATTAATTTAATTTAAAATTAAGGATTTTTAGAAGCTAAATGAATTAAAAACTAATTCGTTGGCAAAAAAATATTTTTTTATAAACCTATTATGCCCGTACTCGTACTCTCGTACAGGCCTTATTTTTTTCTCGTACTCGTACACTGGTGAGAACTTTCCATTTGACTAGAAAAATTTATTAAATCTAACCCATACAGTATTGTCAAAATTTCAATTTGTTCGTACCTGTAGCTCCTACCATCTCTATTTTTAGACCAACACTCGATGATAATTATACACGTATTAGGACAGTCAACGCACTAGACAAGAATCTATACCACTGCCTATCAACTTCCCTTTTCCTGGTATTTTCTACAATATTTTTCCCAAATCAAATTTAAATTTTCAGAAAAATTTAATCACCTTTAATTGACTTATCACAAAGAAAGAAAATATTTTTATAGAAGAAATATATACATAACAGATAAAATATTTTACTCAATTATGCTTATCTTTATGAAGAATATTTTTTAAATGATGCTTTTTGCCCTCTTCCTTTTTAATTTTTGGTTTTCTTTTTTTAATCATCTTTCTTAATTTATTAACAGGATTCTTATGCTTCTTCTCATTCCCATTGTGTTTGTGCTTAAGTTTCTTTAATGGGTTCTTGAGATGTTTAAGATTCTTTAAGTGATGCTTTATGTGATGATTATTATGTTGATTATTAGCATGTTTTTGGTTGTTTTTGTGCTTATTTTTGTCATGTTTGTTTCTTCCAAATCTGTGCAGTTTTAACTTTTTCCCAATTTTCGTCTTCCAGGATGAAACCTCTCTGCATATTTTAGGCAAATCTTTTCTCTTTTTAAAATATCTGACAACGTGTTTAATGTGCTGCTCATTAGTAATATCATCTTCGTGTACTTTAAAAAACCGATCGTTTTTCTTTTTCTGAAAATTGGAAAAATTTTTTCCTCAGTAATTTTATTATACCCCCCATACCTTTATAATTTTGTCTATAAGCTCATCACAACATTCACGACGATTTTCTTGGTGTATTACATTAATTGAATGTCTTTCACAATAGTCCACCATTTCTGTTGTTTTCTTAGCTAAAATTGAATTATTTTAAGATAAATTACTGTAATAATACAGTAATATTAAATACAGCAGCCCACTTCCCACCCAATATTCCTCTATATTTTGGGTACGGTTCCAACAAATTCGGCCTGCTATTCACTTGAGAACGTTTCTTCGTTCCCATGAAGACAAATGATATTTGTGATTGTTTAAAGGGAGATAAGGTTGCCTAGAGGCCTAATCAACCCAGAATCTCTTCCACAATAGTTCTAACACATTCCCCATCCACTTTTCCTCTACATTTTGGGTATAGTTCCAGCAAGGTTTCGGCCTACTGTTCCCCATATGGTATATGTAGAAGACAAAAAAAATCTATTTCACATTTATTTTAGTAAAATTCTTACAAATTCTTGCATCATAAGACGGTAGAATCACAACAATAAAAATTGATAAAATAAAAATATTCGATAAATTCATTATTATTTAATTTTTTAAAATAACGATTTTTAAAAGCCAAAAGTCATTTAGAAATTAAAAGCTATTCTTGTTTGGCAAAAATTTTATTTAAAAACATCTGAATAAATAAAAGAGAAAAAATTAATAAAAATTTAAATTTGGAAAGAGCGAGAAAAAATTAAATCCTGTGATAATTGAGATAAAATTGCGAATTTTTAGAAGTTTATTGAGAAATTTCTCTATGTGTATATTGATTTTAAATTTTTAATTTAATAGTTTTCATTAGGGTTGGGGGTCCAGTTCAGCTGAAAGACCGAGTCGGGCATCGAATTTTGGTCCGAAAACGACTCGGTCGGGTCCGATAAAAAATGAAGCTAAAAAATGACTGAACGTCGGCACGACTCGAAAACGCCAACCTTAGTTCTAATGGAAAAAAAATTTTTTTTAATAAAAATGGCGACAAATTTTTAAGAAAATTTTATTTTAAATATCCCAATATTGTTCCTAAAAATGATTGTTTAAAAAAGGAACGGATGCAAGACTCTCTTTGTGAGATAAATTAAAAGAATTTTTAAAATGCTTGACAAGGTTAGTTTAAGCATTCCTATCACGTGATCAATCCTCTCTCAAATCAATTTAATAATTATACTTTAAATTTTAAACAATAGAAAAAGAAGTTGATCAATAAAAGAATGATCAACTGCCAATCTCTCTATTGTTGAGAGAGGGATTGGCTTCCCCCCTGCTCCCTCCACTTTCGTAGCAGGTAGCAACAAATCCAAATATTGTCTTATAGCCAGTCTTCGCATAAAAGCATTTTTCAAGTCCCATAGCCCAGGGGCAAATGGGTTGTTTTCACGGTTTGGTGATTTTTGATTATTATTAAATAGGATCTTAAATTGTCACTTTATGGCAATTGTCACCCATAAACTTGCTGCCAGTCTATGTATTTATAAAAGTCCCATAACCCGCTTTTTTGTACTATGGACACAAATGGAATAGATAGAGGCTGCTTTGGCTGCTCATGGGCCTTAGACCTGCTTTGAAGATTTGGTGATTTTTAATTCTGTTTTAAGCAGGATCTTATATTAAGTCCTACGCAATAAAAATCAAAAATTATAAAATTTATTAAAAATGTGTTTATAAAATTACAAAAAAAATTTTTAAGTTGTTTTTAAAAATTAATCACAACAAAGTTTCATGTCCGCTAAACAAAATACTTCTTACAAGTTCTCCTTTACCAAGACACATTTCTATACGTGTAGATTTTCGACTTATAGCGCCTATTGTTGCTGGAGTACTTGGCTGTTAATTTATCAAATAGTTTTTAAAACAAAAAATTTTTGCGGGAATTTCCCTGAATGAGAATGACAAATGATCCCATCTAGAGAAAACTCCAAAATTTTATAGGATCTAAAAATCCAAGGTGGAGTGATGAGGGCAACCAAACGAGGGCCTCAACTAAAGTGGGCTAAACTTTACTTGAATCGAAACTTGATTCGATCCCATCTAGGAAAATTGAAGTTTTGAGAATCCAAGGACCTCTAAAGAAAGTCACGAGGTTAGTAAACGAGGGGCACAACTAAGGGGGAAATCTTCGGATATCTGATCCGATATTCCTTCCAAAATTTTCGAATATCCTATAATTCCTTGTGGATCTGCAACGAATCTTTTACTAAACTGAGAGAAACAAAAATTCCTCATCTCTCTCTCTATTACCTGTGAACTAGAATCTTCCCTTTCTTCACTCAAACGTTCCAGATGGCTAAGTGGAGATGGGTAATTTCCACCAACAATATTCTGTCCAATAGAGGATCTTCTATAATATGGGGGTAATGCTGGCTGTTGTTGTTGTGTTTCTTCAATATTATCCTCATCATATTCTTCCTTGATCTGCCCAGCAGCACATTGGCCGTTCGGCGGGGAATGCCCATTTGGAGGATTTATCGAATCCCTTCTCATTTGCTGTATAGAAAAACGTTTGGCCAAGTGAAAAGGAGAAGCGCTTTTTAGGGAGGGAATTGAAAGTCGTTTTTTGATGGATTCTGCATACGAGGCCCTCTTTTCGTCATGGGCGGTAGTGTGTAATGGAAGTGAAGATTCCAACTTAAATTAAAAATTTACTAAATTTAAGAGTTAATAAATTAAGAATAAAAAGCAGCTTTCCAAAAATAAGAGTTAATCGGAGGTTAAAAAAGCTGTTAGTAAAATAACTAAAAAATTTTTTGGATAAAGGGATAACAGAAAAAAAATAAGCATATTAAAAATGCTTACCGAAAATAATTGTCCACAGAATATATTGCTGTTATCCGATTTGGAGCAAACAAACTTTAAAGCAAAAAATAAGGATAAGGTTAAAGCTTTAACAAATTTTAAACATTTTTTAAATTTATCCTTAAAATTAGTTTGAAATCTGTCCTTAGACAATTTTAAATTTTTTCGCTTTCTGACCATTTTGAAAAATATATATTTTGTTAAATTTACGCGCTTAGAAGTTTAAAAACAAATAAAGGAGAGAAAAGGGAGAAAGAAATAGATAAAGGAGGAAAAGAAAAAAATAAAAAAAGGAAGGAAATAGACAGAGAAATGCAAATAATTAGAGAGTGAATAAATAAGTATTGTTCTTTAGCCTTCTGTATTAACCATCTAAGAGTAACTCTTTTCCAAATCTTTTATTTTTGGTATTCTCCCAAACTTCATCCATGGACCGCTTCAGCGGACTATCTTCGGTAGAAGAATACTAGTAATAGTGCGCTTCGGTGGCTTAAGCTAGTAGGACGCTATTGGAAGGTAGACATCAGTGGCTGTGCGTTCTGGCAGCATTATTGGTGGCAGTGGCTTCGGTGGCTCTGCCAATAGTGTTTGTGCGGAGGCAGTGCGCTGGTGACCATGAGAAAAATTTTGGAGTGTCCATGTGCCGTTTTGTACATGGGACCTGCCCCTTGCTCAGGGGGCTTTTTAATCTTGGTTCAAGAAGGTAGGGTCCTTAGAAATTGTGTTTATCTTATATTATTTTTAAGTGTTAACAAAAAATTTAAAAGCAAAGCAACTCAGTATTAACCAAAAAAATTTTTAATTTTAAAAAGCTTAAATAAAATTCAAAAAAACTTACAGAATTATACATTGGTTCAAAAACATTAATTAATTCAGTTCTCGGGTCAAGTCCACCAAAATCATCATTCATTCGAAAGGCACGTTTTAAAGTTAGAAAAACTTCTTTTCGGAGTGCCGGCTGGCAAATCAAATAAATGTTTGGACGAAAAGCACAGGCACACAAAACAAGGAAAGAAGTGAGATCAATTGAGATTAAGTAAAATCTGTTTGAAAAATTGAAAAAAAACTTTAGAAAAATTTTTTAATCGAGCCGGTTATTATTATAACTAAACATTGTGTTTTTTTGTTCTCCTCCTGGAGCTCGCCTCAAAAAATGGTCTTGGGGGGAAAATTTCTGAATCTCTGGTATAATACCCGTTCTATGTTATATATAGAATTAGTTTCAGGGCTGTAGTTTAGTCAAGGGGCTGTTCCGAATGAGTCGATTTAGTTATCCTTCGGATCCTCGAGCTGAGTCGTATGTGCCCCTCTAGGTGTCGAAATAGCTGTGGACAGAAATATGTATAGGGAAACGAAAACAATTGAAAACAGGCGGATATACGAATAGATCCAATTTCAGAGCGGTCCAGGACTAAATAAAATCCCATTTCAGTCACAAAAATAAACAAATATTATAACTGATATTAAGACATATTGTCTATATGATTATCCCAAGATAATCAACTACTAGGTATTTAAAATAATAATAAACTTACTGTAGATAATCAGACATAAGGGAATCCTTATCAATATGTTCCCATGTAGTAAGTCTAAAATTTAAATAAATATTGAAATTTTTCAATAAATTTCAAACTAACGCGACGCTAATAATGTTCGAAACAAGGTATGTACAGACAACCAAAATTGTTGTAATTGTTGCTGCTCTAGTTATTTTCTAGAAAAAAATTTTTTAAAGGATTTTTCTAGGGTTCTGTCTAATTTTCCTCATTCTAGGATTTCCAAAATTTTCCAAAAATTTTCCAAAAAAATTTTTTTCAACCTTTCTTTTAATTTGTTTAGCGGTAGCCGTAGATGAATTGAGCAGTTGAAACTGATAATTTTCTTTTTCATATCTTGCCAGAACGTGAATAATTTTAAAATTGAGAAATAAAAGTGCAAAGAATGGAAAGAAGATTGTTACAAAATTGCGGTAGTAGAAACGAAAATACTAAAAAAATTTATTAAAAATTAAAAGTAATAGAAATCACCAAATGGTAGTCTGTATCAAAAACAAAATCTGCAAATCCAATATCTATTTCAGACATTGTATCAGCACATTCATTTCGATAAGAGATCTGTTTGTAATTTAAAATATTTATTTTCTAAAGATCAGAGTAAGATATCACCCCGAACCTTTGGGGTCTGGAGTGTCCGGAATTGGAGTTTGCCGGAAAGGCATGTTGGGGTTCAGGGTTCTTAAGGTATCTAATAGAAAATTGAACGAGACAAGATCTCATTAAAAGTTCTGGCTATCGAGGCATCGATCACGCTTGATCACCAAGCTTAGTCTCTAATAGCCACCAAAGAACGGCAACACAAAAAATAAATTTCAGAAATCTGACGGACTTTCCATGATAGCTACCAAAAATAAGGCTATACAAAGACAACAAATAAAATTTTTGAATAAATTAAGCACCTTAAATTCCAAGCAAATAGTAACTTTAGAAAGAATCCCCATCAGGATCGCAAATAAAATTACATATTTTCTATTTCTTTGGATTACACGAATATATCTTGAATTTGCTGTTAAAAAGAAGCGTTCAATCGTTGCTGCAAGACTGTCATTGAAAACATTATATTTATTATTCAAAAAATTAAAAAATACATTAGGAATGAGCCTGAAGTTATTGCACAATGAGAGACAGTAATCATCGGCACCATGTAATAATGCCTAAAATTCTTGTATTTTTTGTGTAATTAAAGCAACCACAAAGGCTATTTAAGCAATTTCATATGCTGGTGGAGTTTAAGGAGTTATAAACTTGTTTGTAGTGACTTGCTGCCTCGGGGACTCGATTGCCTCTCCACACGGAGCACCGCACTTGATTAAGGGTTTACAGCAAGGCAAAGGAACTAAACATTCAGGTAGAGGACTACACTAAGGCAGCCTCCCTCCCATGATTACACTAAGGCAGCCCCCAACAGCCGCCAGGCATCGAACCTGAATCTCCCTTTAGGTGCAAGTTTGACATGTTAAAATTTTAATTAAAAAATTCACCATATCCTAAATAGTGTTAATGACTGTAAAAAATCCATCAAAACATTCATTGACATTAGAAAAATGTAAGAACTGCTAATAAGAATATCAAAAAGGGCAATAAACATCATATAACAATTGAAAGAGTGACGATGGTGTTTGCGTGTTGAAAACAAATAAAAGAAAAAGGAATTCTCGAGAATAGAACAAAGTGCTATACTTGTGCCAATACATGTAACAATAACGAAGCGTAATTTAGTTAGAGGGGGTTCCTATTTAAATAAATATTGTTTTTTTATTTAGATTAGTAAAGTTGGGTGCAGGCCAACCTACTGCCGAGGCTATAACTTCGTTCAGGATTGTCGAATCCGGGAAGCCCTGATATGTTTCGATGCGCCTCGAAGAGCTGAATCGAAACATACCAGGTCGTCTCGGATTTGAAAATTCTAAACGAAGTTATAGCCTCAGCGGTAGGTTGGAGTGTACCCAGTAAAGTTTATTAAAATTTAATTTTGCGAAGGTATAGGTTTGTAAAAGGGTTGTTAGATTTTAACCTAGATCCTGGGAAAACCAAATATCTGATCAAAAATTTTAGGATATCCGGCCTTTTTCTAATACAAAGCCGTTAAACCTATTGGTAGTTTTTGAGGCATTTTTTAAAAGAATCGCTTATTTTCAACAATTTTCGGGCTTAAATCGGTAGCCAACAACCCTAGTTTGTTATTTTAATTTTGAGTTAACCCATAAGTTTTACGATTACAAAAGTCTCCGTTTAAAGTTATCAAGTATTTAAATTACATCATAAAGACATTTAGACATAGCACCACCCCCTTCAGCATCAGCGCCAAAGGTATCATTTATAATTGAATTTGAAGTAGAATTAACTGAAGTATTTATAACGGCATCGGGATTACTGCCAATATTATTATTGCTGTCTTCAAACAAAAATAAAGAAGCTGTGTCTATAAGTGATTTGAAGGAGGAGGTTGTTGTTGAATGATGAAGTGAGGAAATGGTTGAAGGATTGTTGTAAAAAATATTTTCTTCATTCATTCTAATAGTTATTAAACTATAAATTTGAATTATTAGGGTGTTTCAAAAATTATTAGATCGTCTCATACACATTTTAATTAAGGTTGGCGTTTCTTGGGAAATCTCTGGATACTTGGAACCGATAACCGAACCGAATATTTCGGGTATCCTGAGCAACCTTAATTCTAATGGGATGTTTAACCACCCTATACCCACGCTCATTTTTTCAAACAAAAAAATTTTTTTGGTCTTTTCCATTGTTAAATTTCTTATTTATAGTAATTACTTGAAGCTACGACTTAGGCCACAAAAAAATCAAATTTGAATAAAAAAAGAATTTTTTAAGGAACGGACTAATAGTTCAAAAACGAACTGATTTAGCACTCTTTCTAAGGGATTTTTGAAGATTTTAGCTTAAAGATATTCAAAATATGATGTAATAAAAAATATAACAAAGTAAATATTATCGAGAAATAACTAAAAAAGAAGCAAACAAACAAACAAAACAGGAAAAAGAATTCATTGAATTTAAAGAGTAAAAACTTTTTATGAATAAAATTCAAAGAATAAGGAAATAAAAAATAAAGCTTCTTCTCCATCAATAAAAATTTTTTATTTGTTTATATTTTTAAGAAAAAACATTAATTCTATTGTTTTCTTTTATTCTTCAATTCAACAAGTTTATTGTTACGATTGAATTTTTTATTAAATTAAAATTCTTTTTTCTTGGTAAATATTTTTTGTACTTTATTTATGAATATTAAAATAATTTTTAGAATAAAAAAAATTAAAAATAATTTTTAGTTAAAGTAAGAGAGAAATAAAAGTTTAGTCCCGAGCAGGCATCGATCTCGCAACCTCCTAAAGGTCAAATTGGATCCGGTTTTGATCAAAATCTCGGTTACGGTGAAACATGAGTTAAACATTAAACAACACACTAGGGGCTTCGCTCGCTTGTAAAGGTGCTCTACCGAGTGAGTACCTGTACGTGGCGTTGTTTTAACCTTATCTTTTAGTAGATCTTAACCCCCATCTACATATTAAGAGGGGAGAGTTTAAACTAAAATTCCCAAATTTTGGTGTATATTAGAAAATATATCAACGAATAATTAATGATAAAAAATATTTTCAAAAAAGAATCCTTAAAAATTTAAATTAAAAAAAGGTCATTGATGTATTATGTCTCCATTTACTTATAATAAAAATGTCATAATTTTAATGCTAATAATAAACTTTAAAAATGTTTGTCTAGTTAATTTGCATTTATTAATGCATCAAATGAATAAAAAAGCCTATTAATTTTAGAATAATTTGGATACATTTTTAAAAGTTTTTTTGACTTAAAAAAATTTTTTTAGATTTACTAAATAAAAATAAATCATAAAAAAAATTCCTAAAATAAATTTAAAAATTAAAAAAAAATTTATAAAGCACTCAGATTTTTTAAGTTAATTATTTTCAGAACACGTTCCAGCTCAGTGAAAAATAATTTAAACTAAAATTTCTATTTAAAGTAGTCTAAAATTTAAATAAAATTATTTTTAAAATGGAAGTATATTAAAAATATTTTTAGAATTTTTTCTAATTAAGGAAATTTAGGTGCAGAATAATTTTAAAAAAATAAAAAACGTCATTTTGAATTTTCTAGGATGAATAAAAAAATTTAAAGGAACAAGTTTTTGATGAAATTTAAAAATCAAATAAAAATAAAATTGAATTGTTTTATTTTAACAAAAAAGGAAATATGAAACAATTTTTCAAGAAAAAATGGAAATTAAAGAACATTATTTATGATGAATAAATATAGATTTGTAGGAAAAAGTAGCGAAATTATATTTTTAAAAAATGAAATTTTAGATTTTTTAAAATATTTTTCTGTGTATTCTAGGAGGGTTAACGATGGCGAATCCTAGGAAATCCCCTAATATTTAGAAATCCCCGGATATTTGGATATCCAGATCTGGATATCCAACTCGAAATACAGAACCAAAATCTTTTGGATAGCTAGACTTTTTCCAGATTCGGATAATGCCAACAATAATGCTTTAAGGTGCGCATGAACAACAATTTATTAACCTAACACTTACAGAAGCACAAAAAGCGATTTTATAAAAAAAATTATTTTTAAAAATTAAATAAAATTTTGTAACCATATTAAATTGATATTTAATTAAAAAATGGAGAATATTTAATTAAAAATGCTTTTTCCCAACAATCTATGGTCACACATCCTAAAAAGAAAGAAAATTTTTCTTTCTTTAAATTTAATTAAAGACAATTTTGGCAACATTGTAAAAGAAATAATTAAAATAATGAGGAAGCTTTAGATTAAATTTTTAAGCAAAAAAAGAAAGAATTAAATTTAAGGCGTAAGGATAAGTATCAAAAATGGGCAGGGGTACCCGAAACACGATACCCAAAATTCTGACTTTTTTAGATAAGAAATCGAACCCCAAAAAAGTTTTTAAACTCCGACCTGAAACCCGGCCCATCTCGGATAAATAGGGCTGACTTTGTTCGAAAATCCCTCCCCTATGGCGAAAGAAACCCCCCCCCCCCCCCGCCTTTGAAAAACACCGTCTCCCCGTCTGGTAGCAACCCTACTGGCAGCGATTAAAAAATTCAAATTTATAGATAAGAGGATTAAAAAATAATAATTTGATTAAAAGAATATTTAAAAAAACAAGCAGACCACATATATGTAAATAATTTGGCTGAGTGCCATCCCCAAAGGAAACGTTAATTTTTTGTTTTGTTTAAAATAAGCATGTAATAAAGCTATATAAAAATGCTAAAAATGCCCTTAAAAGATGCCCTTCCTGCTGGAGCGAATAAAAGAAAATTAATGGGAATAGCTTTGTGCTAGTCATGGAAGAAAGAATTTAAAAAATAAATCTGTAAAAAATATTTTTTAATTAATTTAAAATTTAGTCCGGTCAACTGAAGATAATAGTTAGAAAATAAAGCATAGTAAAGTTGAACTTGGCTAAAGCTATTTCTCCTTCAGCTAAGGCATAAGGTTACTAGGCTGCTGGAAGCGAACCAGCATCTTCAGTTGACCGGACTGAATGTGTACTTTTGCATATCTCCGCCTCTTTCATAGATGTAGGAAATAAACATGTGCTCCTTCAGATAATGTAAAATGTTAATTAGCAGCTGGAAGCGAACCAGCATCTTCACTTAACCGGACTGATGGGTCCTTTTGTACAACGTCGCCTCCTTTCTGGATGTAGAGATTAAATATGTGCTTTACATTGAAGGATATAAGGTCCACTTGAAGGACAATAGAGAGATAACAAATCCTTCTAAGTGGTGGACTAGAAAAATTACTCTCTTAACTAAATTCCCTCTAATAATTTTTAAATGAAGTGGTTTTAAAAATATTTAGGGGAATACTTTATTTTGTTCTTTTAAGGGATTTGTTTGGCCTAAAATCTAAAGAATTTCTTTTTCTAAAAAACTTTTTGAAATGTTTTTGAAATTTTGAGAGAATCCTTGAGGGAATTTTAAAAGTAAAAAATGTGTTTTACATTGATTTTGAGAGTAGTAGATTTATTTTAATGGAAAATTCAAACGTTTTTATTTTTTTAAATTTAGGGGAATATTTTTAAAAAAATTTAAAAATATTTAGAAATTTTAGAAATAAAAATTCATGTCCAACACAATCGTTCAGTGGCTAATGAATGTTATTTGACCAATGGAAGGATACAAAGAGATTAGGAGTAACTAAGAAGGGATTTTGGTGGGCTAACAGAGATATAGAGAGATTTGGGTGGAATAAGTGGGATAGCGATGGATATGGAAATTAAAACGGATGTCGGGGGTTAAAAGAATTTTGGGAAGAATTTAATTTATCTTTTAGATCCCAAGAATATTTTTAAATTACAGGGTGATTTTCTGACAACCTATGTAGAAAGAAAAAAATTTTTTACTTTCAGTAGGAACTTTCAAAAATTATAAAATACATCAAAAACCATTTAATTATAATTTAATCTTAGCTCCAAAATAATTTTAAATAATTTTTAAAAAATATTCTTTGCTTCCATTTTATTTCTAAATAAACAATTTTGACAGCCTGAGGTTATAAAATTTAAAGAAATTTTGTTTGACAAGAAAAAGTTAATAAAATTCAACACATCAAACAGACCCTAGGGTGAAGATTAAAAATAAATGAACATGAAAGCAATAAAAAATAAAATAAAAAAATAAATTTATGTAAATCCTATAGAGGGGGATGAACGTTTTTGAGGGAACGTAAATGAGGGAAATGTAACGGGAAATCATTTTATGCAAAAAAGAAAATTTGTGTTTTTGACGGAAAGGACAGAGGTACACGAGTTTTGAATGTACTAGCGTCATAGGAAGATAATAAATTTTGAAAAAAAAATAAATAAAAAATAAAAAATAAATTTTTTAGACAGGAAAATATTTTTAAAAAATTTAAGAATTATTAAAAAATAAAATTAAAAAAAATTTTTTTAACACCCTCCCAGAAAAAAATATTTTTTCGTTCCTCAAAAACACCCTGAAATAATCTTTAAAAAAGCTTTCATTTAAAGCTGTTTTAGGAAAAGTTTTTTGAGTGTTTATTGGCAAAAGTGTGTGTTTTGGCAAACATAAGTAGTTAATAATATTTATTTATAAACAAAATAATCTTTAATCCTAACGAGAATAAACACTTGAAAAAGATTGTTTTTGTAAATTTAAAGTTTTTTGTTTAAAAAAAACACAGTTAGGGACCCGTTTATAAGTCCAAGGAATATTATAATAATAAGTCCAAGGTCTCTAATAAGTCCAATCTCTAATTATAATAGTGTATTACATCCCTAACCCTTAAAAACGCCTGCTTTATTAGTACATATCAGCAGGGATGTGCGTCATGGCGTTTTGGCGTGACGTTTTGGCGTTTTGGCGTGATTTTTGGCCGATTTTGGCGTGCTGGCGTTTGGCGTGATTTTCAGTTTTTGGCGCGCCAAAACGCCAAAATTATACACCCCTAATGATGGGAATTTTCCAAATAAATGGGGGAAGTGTTTTCAAAAAAAATGAAATTTTTTTGCCCACAGCCTTCCAAAATTTTCAAAATTTGCGCCTGCGGCGCACAAAAAAGGAAGAAATCTACTTATTAGATTTCAAAAAATCACAAAATTTTCGCCTGTGACACTAATAGAACTTAATGCACTTTTCTTCAATCCTCCAATATCCATCAAATCCTATTAATCTACCAAAGTCCACTAATGCCTTCTTAATCCTTTCTAAGTCCCTTACTTCGGGAGGTTAAAGAGGATATCTGGACATCTAAACCCTTCGATATTATACAATTCTGGGGTTGTGATTTTTCCATTTTTCTTGCAATTTTTTAGAAAAAGTAGGATTTCTGCTCTTGTTCTTAACAAATTTCCATAATTTTGGGTGTAGGCGCTAAAAAAAGGATGAATTTTGGCTTCTGGAAGTCGTGAAAATTTAAAAATTTTCGCCTGCGGCGCTAAAAAGAGATAAGCACTTGTTTTTCGGGCCTTAGTTGAATAAAATTTTTGGCGTTTGGCGTTTGGCGTTTTGGCGTCGTTTTTTGCCGATTTTGGCGTTCTGGCGTTTGGCGTGATTTGAAAATTTGAAAAATTGGCGTTTGGCGTTTGGCGCGCCACGCGAAAATTCTGGCGCACATCCCTGCATATCAGGGGTGGGGACCATCGAAATTTAAAAGGCAGAGGAGGGAAGGAAATAAAAACGGAAGATGAAAGACGCAAGGGCCACAAAAGGGGGAAGTAGGCGGAAGATAGAAGCGGGGGAGATCCCATCTCTGGTGCATATCAGGGGTAGGGGTTCTCGTATTTTTTGAGAATCTCGCATCTCGTGAATCTCGTTTCTCGTATTTTGTGGGACTAGGCTCACCCCTGGTGCATATGCCAATTTCAATTACTGTGTCCTTCAAATTAATTATTCTAATTTTAAAAGGATCGCGCTAAGCCAATCCCGAAATAGGGAATTTTAGTTTTATGTGGGCGCGATCCCTGTTAATAATTTAATCATAAAAAAATTTTAAAATTAATCAAATTTCTACTTAAGTATAATTTAATAATATTATTACTATAAAAATATTTATGTCACTATAAATTCCCAAATAGGGCCAAAACTTGTTGTATTTAAAAAGGGAAAATGTCAAGTGTGGGGATTTAAGAGATTGGCATTTGTAAAAGAGAAAATAAAAACATCAAAAATCTTTAAAAAAAGATTGTTCAGTTAAAATGTTCTTCAAAAAACAATTCCCCTGAGAAAATGCAAAAATAGGAGAGAATTTGAGTAAAGTAGTGAAGAATTGTTTTTTGAAAAAAAATATTTTAGGCGCAAAGGTTGAGGGAAGGAGGATTCCATTTTTGGAGTTTTATTTTTGACAAATAAAAGATTTTTTTATGGAAAGTTTTGAATTAAAGAAATTAAAAAATGATATCACATTCTGTGACGTTAATAACAAAAATATTTGTGGGGGTTTTTAATTCAGATTTTTAAAAAATATTACAATGATAAAGAGGGATGATCAGTTATGGATTATTTAAAGAGATTTTGGGAATGAGGGGGAGGGCCATCATAAAATTTTAATTAGCAAAAACAGTTTTAACTCGGCCTTTAATACTCCAAAGATCAGGGGATGATCAGTTGAAGATTTCTAAACTAGAAAATTCTACTTTGGATGTAGGAGTCATCGTTAAATTTTAATTCGCAAATAAAACTAACAATTTTTATTAGTTTTCTAATTAATAAAAAATAAAAATTTATTTTAAGAAAACATATAAAATTACTAATTAGTTAAAATATTAAAACTAAAATAAAAAGATTCCAATAAAATCTATTTTGAGATTCAATTAAATTTTATTAGCCAATCTAAATTGTTAACATTTAGACAAAATTAGATATTGGTAACTGTAATTGACCGGCGGCCGGACTGGGAGGGCATACTAGGATCGTACGAGATTTCCTGAAAATATCGATCTCAATTATCAAAAATTTTTGTTCAGGATTTCGTCTCGATCTGGTCTCTAAATTGAGCTAAATGAAGAAATTATAGAAAAAATATTCTTAAAATAATTTTTTTATGTTAAAAATAAATAAAAATTGATGATTAATTAAGGCAAAAAAATTTTTCAATAGAGAAAAAAATTAAGTTAAAAAATTTTCCCAGAAGGAATACAAATACCTTAATTCCCCAACCTCACTTTTATAAATAAATTCGATAATGAAATTAGTGTAAAGCTTCTTATTAATTATATCAGCAGACACAAAAGTTTATTTAAGCGCCCGCTTCCCCAAATAATCCTCAAGCTTTTACCGCCCGCCTTCCAAATTATGTATATCCTTGCCGGCCGCTAATAAAAATTTTAACAATGGAGTGAGAAAGAAAAAGGTATTTCTTCTTTGCCGCCAAAAATACATAAATTGGGGGAAGACAGAAAAACTCTCTAGGTGAGGATTGAGGGGGTTCAACAAATGCTTCTGGATAATAAAATGAAGAAATATTATTTTTAAAAAAGGAATAAAGGGTTGGGGTAATTATAAAAAGATTTTGAAGGTATAAATGGAAGGAAAGAAGATGGATGTGTCGCCGGATGAGTGGAAATAGATGGATTGCTTGGCAGGTTTTCTTTGGGGTAAGGAGGGGGAGGGATATATGGATGTGTTCAGGGATTTGTTAAGTTTGGGGTCTTTCAGAGAGGATTTGAAAGAAAGAAACAAAAGAAATTTAAAGAACAATTGGTTGTTAAAAAACAAAAATAAATGAAAAGAAATTTATCGATGCGAAATGTGAAAAATATACAAGAATAAAAAATGATGATTGGGAAATTTTATTTAATTTTGTTGCCATATTTAAATTTGGGATTATTTTATAAGAATAGAGTATGTCTTCTGGGAATATGTCTTAAATGCCCCCTCCGAAGTAGGGGACGGACCCATGTACAAAACGGCACATGGACACTCCAAAATTTGTGCTCCCTGCACAAGGCAGGAAGACTAAGAGGACAACGCCAATGGGGCACCGAAGTCAATCACCAACGGAGGCCACAGAGTCACTGCACCAATGGGTCCCGAAGGCAAACACCAACGGAAGCCTTAGAGTCACAGCACCAATCGGGTTCGAAGTCAATCACCAACGGAGGCGACAAAGGCCATAGTTCTCCAAATCCAAACATCATTGACAAGTTTGCGAATCAACAAAATTTAGTCAGTTAATAGAAAAGGCTAAAGAACACTACTTATTTATTCACTCTCTAATTATTTTCATTTCTCTGTCTATTTCTTCCTTTTTTTATTTTTTTCCTTTCCTCCTTTATCTATTTCTTTCTCCCTTTTCTCTCCTTTATTTGTTTTTAAACTTCTAAGCGCGTAAATTAAACGATATGTTTAATTTTAAAATTGTCTAAGGTCAAAAACCGAAGTCTAAATCAAAAGCCGAAGAAAGTTTAAAAAATTGGAAAATATTTTGTAGTAGGTGTGGGCACTAGGGATCCAGCCGACATAAAAATTAAATTCCCCATTTCGGGAATCGGGAATTCCCGAGAAATATTATTTCCAGAATCCTTGATAGGCACGAAGCAAAATTTTTTCCTTCTATCCACTAATAGGTCAAATTTTTGTAAAATTTTGAACTCAATCCCCTTCCTCTATATATTATTTAAAATTCGTCACATATTTCTGATTTTCTCAGTTGCCTAGGTACACTTTTTTCACTTCCAATTGTTTATGTACAAAATTGTTAAATTATTCGAGACATTAAAATTCTTAAGTTCAAAATGTGTGCACGCTTAAGTAATTTTTAAAATTAATTTTAAGTACAAAATTGTTAAACAATGCGTGCCGTAAACAAAAAAATTAAAAAAAATTTTTTATTCCTCATAAATGTTTATTAATTTAAAAAATTTTTTTCTTAAATTCTAATTTTTAAATTAATTAAAGAATTAATTAATTAAAATTTATTTTGAAAATTAAATAATTAAATTTCTCTTCTAATTAGCTCATTAATCTAGCAAAATTCAAAATTTGCATTTCTCTGCTAGATGATTTTGTATTAATTTTTACTAAATTCTAGGCAATCCTAATTTAATTGGATATAATTTCGAAATTATGTCTTGCCATTTTCTGGCCTAAAATTAAGAGCTTAACACATTTTTTATAAAAATTTGCTTTCCTTTTTTGGTTTTAAGCATTTAAAGACACATTTTTATTTCACTATTAATTCATACGTTAATCAAAAACAGCTGAATCTTACTGGTGACAGAAAAGAAAAAATTTTTCTGGTACATTATTATTTCTAAAATTAATTTTTTTCGGTTTTCAAACACATTTTTTTAATTTTTGAAATTTAGGTAAATGGAATTCCCTACATTATCATTAATTTTCCAATATATCGAAATTCTACCTCTAACAATTTTAATTCCCTGTTCTCTTTTAAATTTATTTTTATTGTGGAAAAGTAGTGTTTTACACAATAATGCGAAAATTATTCTCATTTCACAGAGCATTGTTATTTTTATTTATGCATCAATTCGTTGGTTTACGTAAGTTAATTTTTTAATAAAAATGTGGAAAAAGCTTTGGAAAAATCTGGAAATTTGGAAAAGTTATGATTTCCTCAATACTATCACTTTTCCTCAAGTGTTACTCTTCTCAACTAGGGTTGTTCCACGTCCACCTCTCCGAAAGTCGGGGAATTTTAGAGATTTTTGAAAATTCCCCGTTCCCTCCCCCCGTGGCCTACAACCATACTCTCAAGTTCAATCCCTTACGGCTTCCCTTCTATATCTACAGCGGGCAGAACCTCCTTAATTTTCCTTGACGGGCAGAACCTCCTTCATTATCTCCATAATATATACAAATTTAAAACTATGTATTCTTAAGGCTTTTGGCGCTCATCTTCAAACAAAATAGTTTATTAACGTTCTTAAGTCTTCATTCCCAAAGTATCTTATTTGCCTGTATAAGTTTTGGTAATTTAATTGGGCATGTGTTGATAATGGAGAGAACAATCGCCACTATATTTACTAAAGGATATGGACAAACTAAAGTCCCTATATTTGGAATTTGTTCTATTTTAATTTTGGTGGGTAATTTTTTAATTACCGTAAATACTAGGTAATTATTGTGGGTAATTATTGTCAAAACCTCTTGCTAGAGGGGGCAATTAATTGTGACGGGCAAGTATTCGAGTTTTAAACTGAACTGGATAAGGCATTTTCGAGAGGATAATTTATTTTTCATCATCTTGTTCTTGAGGAGAGGGGGGGTAATTATCTAAGGGAGGGTAATTATTTAAAGGAGATAATTATTCGAGCATATACGGTAAATAGTATAATCATAACTAAATTTCAATTTTAATTATTTTTTCTAGCTGTGTTTAGTGATATTATCACAAATATTCAGTAGTGTTGAAAACTTGAACTTTATGGCTAATTTTGCAATTCATTTGTCTCTATTATGTAGCATATTAGAATTAATTGTAAATTTTATTTTTAGAATTTTTAGTTAATTTATGTTTTTAGATATTTTCTAGACTGACCTCATTCAATAGAAAAATTTATAAACAATTTTTAAATAATAAATCTGAACTTGCCCATAATTATAAATTAAATGAACGATATCAGGTTGGTGTTGTAGATTATTATTTTTTGGATATTAGAAGGTCCAGTGAATTTAATGGGCTGATATTGACTAGAGTTAAATCCTGGAATGTCCCCTTATAGGAAAATCCTCTGATATCCAATACGGAAAAAGCTCACAAGAGCGGAGGCGTAGCTATCATCTATCACTC